AATCTATGCATAAAAATAAATTTTAAGAGTATGTTTACTATTTTAAAATAACTTCGTTTCCTATATCCTCATTGCTATTTACTTTTTACCAACACAAATAGTGGTTTTAAATTATTTGTCTGTATTTTATGCCGTATTTTTATATCACTTGAATGAATATTTTTGAACTTTTACAATCTTTTATTGAATGAAGCCTTTGTCAGACTACAAAGTATAAGCATTAAGGTTAATATAACATAACAAGGTTACTGCAGTAAATAAACAAAGCTTATGAATTCCTCGAAGAGAGCTGACAACAAAATTAAATTTAAAAGCAAACTGCTATTAATATGTACACTACATATTGCAATCTTTTTCTACCAAAATCTTTTCCTGAAATCATAATTGAAATTTCCGTAAAATAATTATTATTTAAAACAAAAAAAAAATATTAGACAAAAATATCATTTAATATAATTACTACTCGTAGTAATAGGTAAATTAATTTACAACTACCCTTCAGTTTATTAATTTTTAAAAATAAAAAGTAATTCTATTTTCGGTTCATATATTATCTATGGCATTGAATGACGGCCTTGATAATTTTAACGCCGAGTTTATTTAATTACCTAAAATAAAATATAATGTACACATATGAAAAAAGATTTATCTTAACTCAATATGAAACCGAATTCTTTCTCAAGCCGGTATGTTACTTCGGCTTCTAATAGACAATATGTATGGAAATATAAAAAATAAACAGTAGCCCACACAAGTCTACCTCGTTTGTCAGCCTCAGATATTCATGCTACAAAATATTCTTCTTTATATAGATGTGTTACTTTTTCAGGCAAAATATACTGAATGGATTTTAATATAACTTTAGAATATCATGACATATAAATTGAGAAATATATAGGCTACAATTTATTCCAAAATTCATAGTGGTTCACAGAAACCCGCTAAAGAAATTTTATTTCATAATATCCGAACTCAGTTTTGACGTATGACGTGTGACATTGACAGTTGGTATATAAATATAAAAATATTTATTTATTTTGTACAATAATCTGGTACTTAACATAAACATAGCTGCATGAAAAAGCTAAAAAAATATAATTACAAATAAAAAATTTGACTCCGTTAAAAACTTTCAAACGTAACCATCCTTTAAATTTCCCGTCATCATGGTAAAAACAATAATTATTAAAAAAATATCACAGACTATTAAAACAATTAAATTATCAATAAACCATGTTTTGAAATAGATTTATTGACTTACTTAAATGCTATAAAACATATCGGAATACGTATATGTATTATTGTGCATTGTTCTAGTAAATGAAATACCTATTATTAGTAAACAAATATATTTACTCCTATATTACGTACGTGATAAAATATCATATAACGAGTGACGCTACTGGCTCCGTGAAACCATAAGATTCCTGACACCAGTAATGAAATGGTATTGCTATCCTAACATTACAATAAAGTATTCTTTAGTATAGCTTATAAGTTTCAGCTATGTAATTTTTCTATAAGCGTCTTAGAAAGTTTCGCAAATTTCCTGAACCGTCTGGCTATGACTTGTATTGGTTAATCCAAGAAATATTTTTCGTAACTTTCCCTTAACACAATTTTGTGTAACAGATAGGTTTATTAGAATTTCTTTTTTTATTTTAACAGTCATGTTTTACTGTAAAAGCAAAACCTTAATCATCAAAATAAAAAAGAATGTAGATCTTTTTTTATTATGATCATTCAATAAACTGTAAAGAAAATGTAAAAAAAAAACTTTATATATTTTTTAAATCTTGGTACTCACATTGGAGATAAATATCTACAGACTAACACTATCTTTGAAAAACCACACCTCTGAAAATGTACTTACATGCAATAAGTACATCTTATAGACTACTTGTAAATAAAAAAAATAATACAGTTTATTTTTACCGCATTATAATTAAATTATTCATATCATAATCAGTTAGATCAATTAATTCTTACCTATATAATCGTCGAACAGAAACAATTTTATTAAATATGCAATACACGAAACCTCACACAATACTCTCCACTGTATGATTTAAAACTATTATGTAACTACCGATCCGTGACAAACTAATATCATCACTTAAACTATGCCATTAAAAAAACATTTGGCTCAAATTACTCTTTATTTCATTAAAAGTTTTCTCGATTTTTCTAGAAATGATATTATGGAGCAATCAGTTTGATAAACTAATGTATTTATAACAAAAAATATATGATTATGAAGCACATAATTCTACGTTAATTTGAAGTCGAAAACTTAAGCATAGCTCAATATTAAACGTCGTCATCAGCCTATCAGATTCCACTGCTGAGCAAAGGCCTCTTTCTCACATGGAGAAGGTTTGAGCATTAATCACCACGCTTGCTCCAGGTTTCCTCACGATGTTTTCCTTCACCGTATGTCAGTGGTGTCTAAATACTCGCAGAGAGTACATATGACTTCGAAAAATCACATTGGTACTTGCCAGGTTTGAACTCGCAATATTAAACATTATAACACAATTTATTAAGTACAATATCGTAACAATAAAAGCTATCGACGTGAAGGAATTTATTGACACAAATAATTTTATATATTTGTGCCTCTTTAAATACGCTTCTTCCGCAAAATTAATAGGGTGTGAAATGAAGGCCCGTCTTATGAGATCATAAAATTAGGTCAATTTCAACATCCTTTGGACTCCTTATAATTTAGGGGTCACCTTTTGGGTACCGTAATACCTAGGTATATAAGCATATATCGATTCGTTTATTCAACACCTACTTTTTTAAATTCATTTAAAATTTATACATTTTGTCTAAGTAAATTTCATATAAGTTGAAGTGATGCAATCTTAAGGGGTGTCTCCAGAATCATAAATATTTATTTTAATAGGGAATTTTATTATAAGCAAATATGGAACTAAAGTTTTCAATTTAGTCGTAAATGTTTACTCTTAGTAGATAACGCGTCTTATATTGCGTTCTTTTTACATATTAAGGACGTCTTCATATGAGAAGGAAACACGTCACTCAAAACGTAGTGCTTATAAAAAAATTCTTTATGCTCTGATAACTTCATAATAAATAAAGATACCTCATTATATTTTTCAATAGAGGTCAAGTGTCTAAAAATACCTAAAAGTTAAAAAGATTTTTTTATTTATCTCGTTTTGTCGTGACGTTTTCACAACGGCAACTTTATTACGAATTAATACATAAAATTTATAAAATGTACTTATGTACATTGACTATCGTAAATATTAATCTTTCATGAACTGTGATACTATGTTTTAACTGATAAATAAAATATTACATTAAATAGAAAATAAATACACAACTAAAATTGATTGTAATAATGATTAAAATCTGTTGACTTTTATAGATTTGACGCCATTAACTCGCACACCGTCCTCGAAGTAATTACTTACAGGGTTTTCTTTATAGGACTTAAGTTCAAGGCGTTTAAAAAAGGTATTATGTATATGAATGAAAATTTTGTGCAAGTCAGTTAAATATAATGTACAAAGGTGGTTCGGAGGCTCCGACATTCATTAATTTACCATGAACTAATCATCAACCCAACCATATAAAGGCGGGAAACTATTGACAATAAATTGAATTATTTAAAAAAATATTGGGATAATACAGATAATATAATATATAACAACAGATTAGTAATTTGTATATTATGCCGATGAAAAATACAATTATGTTCGTATACGAATTCTTCTGAAACTCGTTGTATGTAGTTAGAAAGTCTAAAATTTATTACCCTTAAAAAGCTCTATAAAACAAAGTAATTGTGTTTAGTATAACGTTGCTATGGATACAGCCTTGCTGACCCCTAATTAGATACCGCATCTCACGTTAACCATAGTTCATGGACTTACAAGTAGTTTAACGAACTTTGATTTAGTGTGTAACATTAACAATCCCCGAAATATTATTAAACTAATTAAAAGAAAAACACGTGAAAGATGTTTTTCTTTATGATTTTAGTTTGTAAATTTATCTCAAACAGTATTGTGTATAATGTATTCCAAATTAAATTGAGAGTCATATAATAAGTACATATTCAAAATCTTCGTATGGTAAAGAAAACGAAATTTTTGCTATAATAAAAAAAAATAACTTACCCTATAATCAATTAATTAGGATTCAGTAAGTATTTAACTATTAATTCACTGTAACAGAATAACCATTTTTATACATAAAAAGATTAATAAATGGAAACATATTTTACAAAATATAACAAGATTTTTACAAAATATAACAAGTAACTTTTGTGTACAAACGAATCAATTAAGCGCGCGGAAGACAACAAAAGTCAATGTGACAATAAATTCTCACGTCAAAATTAACAACAAATACCTACTAAATAAAAAGTAACTTTGCTATGATCAGTGATCATGTAATGAATATTTTTCATACATATATGTACCCTTAAAATAGGAAAGCATATACTTTTAAAAACTAAAAATGATACTTGTTACTTTATTTCGTAAAGCATATTTTTTAACTCACACACAATGTAGCTGTGCTTACGCCATACGTACGTAAAAAATAAAACATAAGCACCATGTCATGTATTAGAAATATACTTAATAGATTTTCGTACAAAGTCCATTATCTAAGATTCGAGAAATCATTGACCTCTATAGTAATATTATGGCGTGTAATAATTATTTGTTGATTTACTGATTAGGATTTAATATAATTTTATTTATAAAAATGATTTAAAAAACATTACAACAGAAATAAAAATCAAAGTGTAATATATATATTACCTATATACAATTTTTAAGTAAATTTCCCATTCTATATATTCTAATTTAAATATTATCTCAACATTCAATAAATGATAAAAACAAAATTAATCAATCTGTCACTTTTTATTCTCATTATTATATATTTGATCATTAGTGGGTAAAAATAGAATTTCATTAAATATGATATATTTGTCAATAACATTTTTTTTATATTCATGTTATTCCTGTTAGACCAATTCCAGCAAATAAATATGCACATGTATCCATATTGAAATATGCTTCAAATTCCCAAGCGCTTACATAAACTTCTATTAAACATTCATCTCTACAGTGAGCTACATTTTCTGAAACAAAGTCAACCTTATTAGTTCATGAGGCAGAATACAAAAATAGCAATATTTTAATTTGAATTAAAAAATGAACCAGAATAAAAAAATAAACTAAGTGGCACTTAAAGGTGGAAATTAAAAGAAAATTATGATTCTTAATTTAAATTGTCAATATATTTTCCTTTCTATATAATTATATAAATTTTTTTCTAATTAAATTATGTTATGTTTACAGCCAATATATGTATAATTATAAAAATGCCTTTTAAAACTCTTCTGTTCAAATAATGAACTGAAAATAATAAATAAATAATAGCAATGTAATCAGCCTTTACATTTATATAATTTTACAATATATTTTCCTTACCTGTTATAACTTTTTTCAATTTTAATTCCTTTTCTAAATTATGAGTAATATTTGAAACGGTTTCAGCAATTTCTGTACACGACCAAGTATTTATGACAGCGTCTGGTGTTGACTGGAGTTGTGAGAGTGCTTGCAACTGATTGTTTATAATTTTAACACCTAAAATTAAGTATTACATAATAGAATTCAGTTTAAACAAGTTAATAAACATCCAGAAGGTAGTTTAATACAGAAGATCTGGAGTTAAAAATATCATGCAAAGATTGTCACTATACATATATGTTTATAAACTTATATATAAAAAAAATTGAAATTATCTCAAGTGCTAATGGTATTTATTAATCAGGGTTTTATTTAAAATATATTGGACTTAGAAAAGTTCATTTGTTAGTGTGAGAAAATATGTTATACAATATTTCATATGAAGATTATATTTTCAGTAAAATACCTTCTACAATATTCTCAAATCCAGAAAGAGATTCTAATAAGCCCTCAATCAGAGGCTGAGTTTGATGTGGGTAGTAGTCATCAACACACTCATATAACTTTAAAGCAGAAATTGTTTTACATATCTTCACTCCTTTTTCTTTTAATCTCAGCCAATCATTCAGAAAACTGTGTAATTTAGATAGATGCATATAAACAGTTTTGGACACTGGAGATCCCTCTTTATTTACGGTTGGCAATTCTGTAATGTAAATATATTCCACATTAGATACATATTTTCAGTATTCAATATAACTATGAAAAAGTTAAGTTTACATTTTACCTTTAGGAATAAAATAATTAAGGGAGTCTACGTTCTTCGACGGAGTTTGCGACATTTTTAAGATATTAGAAATATATTCTTAAACTACATTATCGGTTTATATAAATAAAATAACCACAAAAGAAACGACTGTAAGAAAAAAATGAATATTAAAGAATTTTATCAAATTTGTTATGCAATAAAGACTGATTAGAATAAAAGCAAAAACGTACAATTTACAGTTAATCACTTTGTTATTGTTTTCATTCGTATAAAATATTTAATAGCCCTTTTGTAGGTACCTTTAAGGTTATGACATATGTCACATTCTGACATTTCAATTGTTAATTTGTGACATATAATTCACTTTGCTATATTTTTTTAACAACACCGTTATATTAGCCATCTTTTATGAAATAACATTGAAAACTCATAAACCCTTTTCTGATAATAAAAATAACATTGTAATTTTATTTGCTAACTTAGATAATACACCACACGTTAATGTGACTAAAATATTAGCTTGAGTAAAAGAAAACCAAATGATAAAAGAAATGAGACTACAAACACAATAAATAACTTCTTAGTTTTAGTTAAGTTTATGACATTCATTTAAAGTCGTATAATAAATAACTTTTCTCTATACAATAGCAACCAAAAACCTTATTATAGCATTTTACATTACAGTGTTTTAATATATTTTATAGAAGACAATAATTATAAAATAATATATTCTATTGCAATTGAGATTTTATAATGATGACTCAATAGTTATTGAACAATTTCATTAACACATATTTTACTGCCCTGTTTTAATTCTAAAAATGGTAGAAAGATTAAACAATCAAATATATACACATTGTAAATTTCATTCTCGATATTTATTTCAAAAGTAAACTTATATAGTTTCTCTCTCAATTTTTCTACTCTTCTCTCGCATGTTGCTTTACAACCACAAGTCAAGTGTAGATCACATAAAAGATTTAATTTGTACAACGTCATCAAATCAGAAAGATTTTACACAAATAGACATTATGAATTAATATCCGTTTTCATATTTATGTGGATTCTGAAGAATTTTTAGAAAAATAAATAATAACACACAAAAGAAACATCAACTCTTAGTCATTGTTTCATAATTAGACTAAATGGGCAAGTTAATAATTAATACAAAATTATTTTTTCTATTAGTTTTACCTTCGTTTGAAACAATTTTTTCGTAGTATTTTCATTACAGGTCGTTATAAAATCTTCCTAGCATTGTTTTGGTATAATTTCGTCTTCATACATATTGTTTATACATATTATAACATTCAAATAAAGTAAAAAAATTATGGTATTAAGAATGTGATTATATGTATTAAGAATTATGTGATTAAGAATGAACCTTGTCTATATATTTTAAATATTTTAGTTTAGTTTTTACTCTGTTAGATTGGGCATGCATATGTCAAAATTCAAAGGAGTCAATTGTCAAGATTTCTTTATTGTTTACATTAGATTACTAAATACTAATAAGATGCGTTAATAATATTGATATATATTAATCAAACCGTGAACGCTTTATATTATATATGAGTAAAATGCCCGTGGAACTAAACAGTCTTACAGAGGGATGGCTAGAATTAGAAAGTGATCCGGGTCTATTCACTTTACTCCTTGAAGATTTCGGTGTAAAGGGTGTCCAAGTGGAGGAAATATATGATTTACACAAGCCGCTAGAAAGCCCAGTTTATGGGTTTATTTTTTTATTCCGATGGATTGAAGAAAGACGTTCACGTCGTAAATTTGTCGAACAGATTGAAAGCTTCGTGCGTGATGAAGAAACAATAAATAATATATTTTTCGCCCAACAAATGGTTCCGAACAGTTGTGCTACACATGCGCTACTGTCCATATTACTTAATTGCCCAAATCTCCATTTAGGAGAAACGCTAAGTCGATTAAAGGTTAGAGTTACTGTACACTTTCTTCCAGTAATTATCTTAAGTTTATAAATTTAATACTGTTTTAGCATCATACACTAGGTATGAACCCTGAGAACAAAGGTTGGGCTATAGGAAACACCCCTGAATTAGCTTGTGCACACAACTCCCATGCAATACCACAAGCTCGCAAAAAGACTGATAAAAATGCTGGAGTTCCTACTGGACGCTTTACAGGTTATTTAATATATTTCTAATAGTAATACCATACATAAACAGAACTACTTATTTGAAAAAAATATATAAATATATATATATGTCTCAGGTGAAGCATACCATTTTGTAAGCTTTGTGCCCATAAATGGTCATTTGTTTGAACTGGATGGCTTAAAGCCCTTTCCAACTGACCATGGTCCATGGGCAGCTGAGGAAGATTGGACCGACAAGTTTCGACGAGTCATGGCTGAGAGATTAGGAAGAGATGCCGGAGAACAAGTACATGATATAAGGTATCAAACAGTAGTTCTAATATTTTAAAACTTATAAAAAGTAACTTTGTTAGTGAACTTATCCAAAACTAGTAACTATAGCTTACCTTATTTGCTTCATCATTGTTTCGCCATTAACATTCACCTTTTTGTATCTTGTGTTTGGGTCATACTGGGATTTTAATGTTATATCCAACACCATATTTAATAACTAAGTACTCACTAATGGTACAAGCATAAAATCTAGTAGGTTAAATTGATTCCTGTACTGATATAGTTACTTCTGATTTTATTATGCAGTAACTGAGTACACCTCACAAGCATTAAATTGCCCTTCTTTGTTTGATACAAACATTAAGATTTTCAGATTTAATCTCATGGCAGTAGTACCAGACAGACGAATAGCATTGACTCAAAGATTAAGTGCTTTAGAATTAAACCAAAGGAGACTCAAAGAGGCCATCTCAAAAATAGGCAAACATCTAAGACATTTACTGAACAAAAATAGAGATTTTAATGGTAATTAACTCTCTTGTAACATAGAATTTATGTATACAATAAGTTGAGTGGTTTTGAAATAATTATTGTGTTTCAGAAGATTCAATGTCTGGTATGAACAATGTTGATGCGTCAAATGAAAGTTCTATTCAAATATGTGAAGATGCAATTCTGAATGCCTTAGAGGCATCAGAAGTGTCATCCTTGAATATTAATATAACAGATGCCATTACAATTGAAATTGGTGCTTCGGATAGTGCATATGATAGTACTATAACCTTAGGTAACATATATGTATATATATAAAATGTTGCAATCAATGTTGGGTGTTAAATAATTGAATCTTTATTTTCCAGCTGATCCTATTGATCAAACTGCTGTTGTCAAGTTTGTTACAATAAATGGTGAAAATGAGATATTGTCAGATGTAAGTCAATCAACTGTAATTCAAATATTAAGTTGTAGTATTATAAGAGTAATGAAGTTACTTTGAAAAGGTTGACATTACTCTGAATTGCTGTATTTAGGCAATGAGACTAATAAGAGAGTGGATATTCATTAGAAGATATGTCATCTTTAACTTGCCACTTAGGTTTTATTATGTTTTATATTCTTTATGCAATACAAATGGTTGCACTACACTGTCAATTCCAAAGGGTCAGATTATTCAGCCTATATGTGTGCTAAAATGTAAATACATGTAAAGAGTCTATGACTATTTAGGTACACTATGAAACTTGTTTTAATTTTTTCTGTACTTCCAACACACATTAAATGTTGTTGTTGCAAGCTGTGTTTACAGTGACTAGAATAATGTTCCCTAACCAATAGGGCATATGATTGTCTTAAAAACTAATAAGAATTTTGTACTCTACAACCACTCTTCTTCCCTATCATTTCACAGAATATTCACAGTATATTTGCAGATATAAATTGTTTAATGTCTGCTTTTGTAAAGTCATAAAGGAGACTAGTCATATTTAATCTGATGTATAAAAAAATACCCTTTATTTACAAGGACTCCAATTACAAAAGAAATTAGTGTTTTTGAGGTAAATTTACTTGTTCAACTTGATAATAAAATTATATCTTGTTCTTCGGTCTCAAATAAATAAATAAGTATTTATAATCAATTTGCACACACCAAATTCTCATCAGAAAATAATTAAAGTACAATCTTATTCTGTATTTTATGTATATTTTATTACATTTTTAAATATAATATATAGTTTTCTTATTTATTTTCCATAAGATATACCCCACATCTACAACCGCACTGATCAAGAGTAACAACATGCCGGTTGTATTGTGTTGTGAAGTGGTCCCGGAACAGCCTTACAGGATGAGGAAGCTTCTGTTCACTCACGCTGAACTGAACTCACTCATGAACAACATAATGAGTGAGGTCCAGGCGTGCCAACAGGCTCTCAATGACGAGAATGATAAAAGAGATATGTACAAGGTGAGTTTTTATTATAAACTAGTTTTTGCCCGCGACTTCGTCCGCGTTAATTTCAACATTAGTAATATATGTATAGCTGACCGGGCGAACTCTATTCCGTCCTAGAGGCCGTTAATAATCAGGTTTTTCCTGTTTCAATTGAACAGAATGATTGACATATTAGTTAGTTGTCAAACCTAATGTCAAAGAAAACATTTGTATGGGAAATAGAAAAGGGCTGTTTTTAGGGTTTTCCTGGAAATGAATCAATTTTTCTCACCTTTTATACCTTTCCTGAACCTCCACGAACATTTCAAGACTAAGATAAGATAAATCCGTTCAGTCGTTCTCGAGCTTTAGCGAGACTAAGGAACAGCAATCCATTTTTATATATATAGAAGATAGAAGATATCAAACCGTTTTGGACTCCATTTTATATTACTGAAGGATCGCTGCCAAAGGCGCCATAAGTTCACAGTGAAATTTGGTATTAGACTAGCCTGTAAATATAAGAGAGATATACCTTTGCAGATTCTTTAAAGACTAAACAGTCCTAAAGGAAATTAATTATAATAACTTAATTCGCTTAATCTGATACAAAGAACAAAAACCTAATTATTGCTAGAGATGTCACCAGGCCTAGTAGAAAGCAGTGTGTTATGAAAATTTATGCAATAGAAAATATTGCGCAATAAAAAACAAATTGGCATCACATTGAACCCAATGCTTTGATTTAAATTTTAACCTACTGATATTTACACTATCTAATATACAGGGTGACTGGTGAATTACTATCGATACTTGAGGACATGATATTTGACGATCATATATGACAAAATAAAAATTAATATAACATAAATATTAATAAACTTCTAAGTAAAGTTAACCAAAAGTTGTGTAATTAATTACGCATCGTGTGAACACCCTACAGATTAGGTATACACACACACAGTCACACACAAACAGACGTGTGCGGCGGCGTAGTGTTGTATCAGCACGCCGCCGCACGCGTCCTCACTTGGAACGTGTCCACACTTTATTTATTTATACGGAAATTTGGTCAAAAATTAAGTACATACCTATTTTTTTTACATAATTCGAATGAGAATCATGTACCGAGTATACTCCTAAAATATTGATAGTAATTCACCAGTCACCCTGTATAAGTATCAATAAAATTGTCCTTTAACCTATCGGAACCGATACCAGTGTATTGACTATGAATGTTTCGTTGTCATATAATATTAATTTACTTGTCAAGGTGGACGACTGCCGTCGTACTCACAACTACGACGAGTTCATCTGCACCTTCCTATCAATGTTGGCTGAGCGAGGCGTGTTGGCGGAGCTGGTCACCGCTCAGCTGGAGAGAGGACGCAGCGCGAGGGTTCGGAGACGAAGACCTAGACCCAGGCCTAGAGCCAGGCCGAGACCCAGGCCAAGAACGAGAAAGTGATATATGCCGTCTCTTTTTAACATCATAGTACATATCGTGCTGTCTCGCTCACTACGTTATACAACACAAGCTGAAGAGTACTATAAAAATAAGTAGATTCAGACCTTGAGCCAGGACGAGAAAGTGATATACGACATCTCTTTCTAACATCATAGTATACATCATGCTGTCTCGCTCTCTACGTTATACAACACAAGCTGAAGTGTACCATAGTACTGATGCCAGATTAAAAATATGTCAAAGATAGTATTCGCTGGAAGATTATGCTCAGTAACTGAGCTTAATCTACTATTTAAGAATATTTAAATACCTTGTGTATATTTCGCAAAAATAAGGAACTATAGCCGTTTCAGCTCACTTGTATAAATATGAATGATTACACAATTCATAGGCTTTTAAAAATAATAACAGGCCCAGGTTTTTATTGCGGCACTCTATGGTACTTTTATTTACATAAGTGTAATATTATTGTTTACAGTATATTCATTTCTTACAAATTGTATGATAAGTGAAGTTACTATACAACTTTTTCTTTGGTTTTGTATAAATCAACCTGTATTTATAATTATTTGTTTTTTAATATTATAATTTATTTAAACACATTTTGTTGTTTTTCATTATTTTATGGTAATTTATATGATTAATGAAATTGGTATTAAGATTGTTTGTAATTTTTGGAATAACTTGTCAATTTTTTTATTATGGATATGTACTACAAGCGGGTACATGGGGTTAAGGGTTTTTCTTATAATCAAATTAATTCAAGGATAGTGTAAATGAAACTAGTATTAATTAAAAACGAATTATATTAGTATTCTACGAACAGCGCCGTATTTACATGATCGTCATATTGTTAGAGAAATGTAACAACAACATAACCATTGTATGTTTAGGCACGTAATTCATCAAACAATTTCCTTAAAATTTAATAATTAATATTAATAATAATGCTGCCCAACATTACCAACACACTAGGATAGCATACAATTTAAGAGGCAATCGTAAGCAGGTGACCTTCACGCCGCACACTGATATCGCCGTTTGTCTTATTTCAAAAAATACGATATGATTTTATATCAGTGTATTATTACGATTCAAATGCCAGACGCCAGTACAAACAATTCCGGCTTACTGTACGCTATAAACACATCTACTCAAATTTTATCACTACACTAATTGTAATCATTAGAACCCAAATCATTAACAGACTGATCGTTTCATTTTAATTAATTTTATATAATTCATAGTTATATATAGATATAGGACACCCAGAGACACGAGTTACTGATATCGTTAGGACAGATAATTTTATACCGAAGTATTATTTAATATTACATACGTCAGTATTTATTTTTAATCTGTATACATAAAAAATATTGGATTATAATTATTTTCAATATAATCATATATAATATAAGTAATCCTTCAATGAAAAGTATGTGTAAAATTAATTTGTGCCGGCCTGTTAATGTATTGAGTGTCTAAATACAGTCCACATACACAATATATTATATGGAACTTTATAAATATTAAATATATAACTTTATATATAATCCACTGTGTGTGTACATAACGCGAATACATACAATCTACTTTGTGTTGGAGCGGTATTTGTATTAAAAAAAAAATCAAATAACATTAAATACACATCATATAAAACGGATATACATTTAAAAGGCAAATATGTATATTTAGTTGCGACGACAAGGAAGCAAGCTTGAATACAAACACTTCATATCACAGACTAACAGAAGTTATAAAACAACCTACTTTAACTACATATATGGCACTAAAAATACTAAAATCAGAAGAAATAGAAAACATAGCTAAGGCAGTATATTTTTTTCAGTGCTTTTCATCAACCGTGTTCCTCGTCGCATGTCCGTACCGTATACAAATAATATAAAATCAAAATTATATCCAAACATTTCCACACTGTTACATTTCAATCACAATACAACCTTTTTGTCTAAAACATCGGGTATTTCAACGATATATTTCCGCGAGAATAATAAAAAAAAAAAAAACAAGAAATAATACTCAATAACAATTCAGTAAAACCATAATAATCATAATAAAGGTCATGTCGGCAGTAGCACCAGTATCAGCGATTCCTCTGGCTCACAACCAAAACTTGCCGCTATCACTAAAAACCACAGCTCTACTCTGGGTGTCCGTGGCGTGAACCGAAATAACACGAACGCACCGTATTGCACACGTAACATCAAACTAAACATAATTAATTATACATATTTGTTCGAAAATAATTTCCACAAAATTTTTCTAAACGAAAACAAAAAATCTACATCAAACCTTAGCGCGCTATTCACTACGGCATACCTCGTTAGCAAGGAACAATATGATCGATCGTCAATGGTACAGTGATGGTGCGTGTGGCGGGCGAGGTCGGCGGGCCCCCCTCCCGCTGCCCGCAAGTTTCAACTCTCCCCTCCCCCCTCAGCCCCCTCCGCCTCCTTAGCGTCTTTAACGCTCGCCTCGCCGAGGCCGGGTATGGGCAGATCCTTGAGCTGTCTTTTCTCTATTTCGGCCTTGAACTGCTCGATGTCTTGCGGGCTGGAAGTTGTTATATTAAATTAAAAAGACATCTAAAAGACTGATCCCATATACAGTACAAACTCTATTATCCGGACTAATTGTTGTCGATAGGCATTTGGATAATCGAATGTATGAAGAAAAGCCAGTTTTGTGCATATGTAGTACCATAATGTTTATTTAAAAAATAAATGACAGTATGTACATACATATTTGGTAATTTCATAATAAGCAATTGGTAATAATAAGTTAAAATAATAAGTTAATTCGGTTTAGAATATTTGGAAATTGCATTTGACGTACGCCACTCTCAACAACACCGCTCTGTTACGCTTTGACATTCTTTCTTGTCCGGACTCGTCCGTAGTCCGGATAATCGAGAATCCGTATTACTGAGGGCGGGATAATCGAGTTTCTACTGTACTATTAACAATTCCTTGAACAGATTTGTGTTGTATGTGTGTGTATGTGTTACCTTATCTGTACGAATAGTATTCCATTGATGAGGTTGAGCATGTCTATAACGGAGGACATGGCGGGCGGCTGTATGTGTAGCGGCGCGGGGTGCGCGTGGTGTCCGCGCGCGAACGCCTCCGCCAGTCTCTTCTGTACGACGACCGCCTGCTGCGTCAAGTGACGGAGACATTCCGACGATTCGCGGGTTTTCTCGTGTTTTTCGCCCAGCTAGAAATATAAGTGATTTATTACTCTAATTGGTCATTGGTTTAGTTTAGTTTTGACAGAAGTAAGGAACTATACAACAAGAAGTATGAATTTTGTTTAATGTGACAAATATGCTGTTAAGTTGCTGTAATGTGATAAATAATAACAATGATTGCCAACCTGAAGTTAAATATAGATCTGTATTTCCCATTGTTATAATTTTTTTTTTAAATTAAACATTATATTATCAAAATTTATTAAGAATTTATAGCATGAAACCAAAATTATAAAATTAATAACTAAGCTTTTATTCGTTAGTGAATTATAATAATAGTATACAATTACTAGAAGACCCGGCGAACTTCGTTTCGCCCTATAATCAAGAAATATCTGTTATGTTTTTTTATTTATATTTTTGGAGTTTACCTATTAAAGCCATAAATCTCCGTGTTTTGAAGTGATTAGGAATGATTAATAGTTAATATGAGAGTTACACTGAGCTAGCAAAATAATAATTGTCAACGTTACTACTACACTTGATGCACAAACAATAACGATGGCCGACAACTGTGTAGGGAGTGAGAGAAGTCTAATTGTGTGAGAGAAACAGAAGACCGGCTTCGTTCTCATCCCTACTCCGTGCTGTTTACTGGGTCAGAAGTGACACCTGTAGATATCTGGCGGGGATAACTTATTAAATGACGATTGATCAGTTATCGACCGGAGATGAAAAAATGATTAAATTACTAAAATAGCTATTAAAAAATAAGGGTTGATCGTAGAAGGGTGAAAATTTAGGATTGTATGTATTTTTGTACGTTGTATCATAAAAAAATAGTAATTAAAAATTTTGTCTAAAAAATAAAAAAAAAAAATTTAGGGGTGGACTACCCCTAACATTTAGGGGGATGAAAAATAGATGTTGGCCGATTCTCATAGCTACCGAATAAGCACAAAAAATTTCATCAAAATCGGTCAGGTTGTTTCGGAGGAGTATGGGCACGAAAACTGTGACACGAGAATTTTATATATTAGATGTAGTGTAATATCTAACCAGTTGTTTGTATATGGAGTATGTTTCCTTCTCGTGTTGTAGGGCCGCTCTGAAGTCTCCGAGGCAGGAGAGGGTCCTTGCTAGCAAATGTCTTGCGACCGCTGCCTTGAGCGAACGCGCGCCGTGTGTAGCCGCAGTCACACGTAACCCACGCTCCGCGAACCTCAAGGACAATTCATATTCTCCCACCGCATGAAGTATCAACGCTATGTTGCTCTGGAATTATTGACAAAACACAATAATATATCAAAATATAATGATACAATTAATCTTCTTAAACTATCACAGTGCCCTCTATTGGTTATGGTTTCAGCAAAATTATAAAATTTCGATTATCTTTGGACCTCACACAAGGAGACCTGTATCGTGGGGCAATTATATGAAAAATGATAGATTCACTTATTATATATGCTCGTTTTCTTAAAAACAAAGTTTGATAAAGTGATTTGAAGCTAATATAGCGTCGAAAAGAAGATAATATAGTTATGTTTCAGATGGTATTAAGAAAGTCGTTTGAAGAAAGAAGTCGAGAATCTTGAGAACAATTTAAAAAATAAGGCATAAAAGGATAAAGGTTCCAAGACGTATTGTCAAGAACAAAATCTGTATATAATACAAATCTGCAAAAACAATTTCAGTGTTAGATACGTTTTAAACTTAATAAATAATATCATTTAACAAAAATTTGACTAAATTTCGGAAAGACGATAAATAATTTGTTTATGTTCATTGAAAATGTAATTTATGACGAAATATAAATTAATATTATCCTAATAATGTAAAAAATCATTGTATATACTCACGTCTAGTAACGCCATCTCTGGGTGATTCTCTCCACACACCAACAGTGCGAGGTATCGAGCTCGGTACAACAATTTCAGAGCTGTACTCACTTGACCGTTCGCGAAGCAGTACAAGGCTAAGTGAGACTGAAATATAGAAAATATTATTATTAACATTTAATATATGATACGTAAATTTTTGCTTATAATTTTTTTTAGGTAGTCAATTGAACATATTTCATACACATTAACATTTAGTCTTAGAGTCTTTTCTATGTGTAAGACTTTAGAGAAACACGAAAATACCTATAAAGGTAATAAATAACATTTATATATGGATTTAAATTGATTTTTATATAAACGATACTTACATATTCAGTTATAGTGTAGGGATGATCAATACCGTTCACTCTTTCAGACATCAGAACGGCCTTTTGTTGGTATGCCATGGCGTCTCTATGTTCGCCGGTCACATAACACAATCTAGCGACCATGCGGAGACATTGGGCTATTTCCCCATGCATAGCCCCATACACGTTGTTAAGGAGATTTAGAGCTTCAGCTATCAATTCATGACCTTCAGACACAGCTCCCGATTGAATTTTATTTTGTCCAGTTGTATAGAAATTGTAAGCATCTGACGCCTGAAATAACAATGGATCATGTTTAAAATAAGGAACTATTTGTTCCAATAAGTATAATAATGTTTGTATTATTTATGTCGGTATATTTACCCTTGGATTAATATGTTTCACAACTGGGAAAATGTTCATTATATCGGAACTGGAGAATGTGGTCTTGTTCTTATTGTCGAAGTCGTATTCCCGTAGTAACATTTGTAGACCAACTTTAAGTGCAAAGGATCTAGAAAAAGAAATTACATGATATAATATATATTATAATATATATAACTTTTAGATTTAAATCCACGAGAACGTTCTAGAAAGTCTAGATTAATTCTAAGAATTATGAAAATTTTATAAAAGTTTATAGGATTGTCTGGGAAGTTCTATAATGAATTTTTAGATTCTGTACGAAAAATAACAGTTTAGAAAAATCTAGAATTACTTAAAATAACCAGAAATTTTCTAGAAAGCTTTGAAATGTATGTCAATACTCTTTTCGGCAAAAATATTCTGTAAAGTTTTAAAAAATTTTCAAACATACTGAAACCTTATAATATTAACAAATAACTGTAAATTTAAAATTACACAACAAAGCGGTTGTTAACAATAAGTATATCGTATATAAGTGTATTGAAATGTAGATAAGAGTGATGAAACTAAAATAAAACGGTCACCTTAGCTAACTACTTTTCATGTCGTTACATAATTAATGAAATTGTTACCTGAGCAGAGAAATTTTTTGTAGCCCATTCTTTTCAATGACGACATCCATATTTTCAGCGTTTAATTCATAGCCCCAGTAGGACTGGAAAGTAAAAAGCATATATTAACAAACTAAAAGTATCAAACAAATTTAAACGAAAGCTATCAAGCAAACAGCATTTTTTTTCTATTTTGATAAAGAAAGTGAAACAAATGAGTCTATATAATCAGATCTGAGATAACCGCAAGTCATTTGAATGAAACTAATATTTTGGTAAAATACTACGCGACTTTATTTTTGATTAAAACTACATACTCCCGACGTTTCGGTTACTTTACGCGAAATGCGAGACTCACGTCTCGTGTTCACGGCTGATGTAAAGTAACCGAAACGTCGGGAGTATGTAGTTTTAATCATAAATAAAGTCGCGAAGTATATCCACAAAATATAAGTTTCATTCAAATGATTTTGTAGCCAAAATGTATAGCCAAATTGTTTGATTTATTGTTTGTATGTATTCATACAAATTATATAAATTGAAAAAGTCAACTTTTAAATTGTGTTAGTACTAATTTTATCTATACATATTTCGTTTATTTTTATAATATTTATTACAAATTCACACAATTTACTATCACTTTAAAAAGTAATCACAGTAATCCGAACAAAGGTTTTTATATAGTAATATAATGTAGTCTACCTTAAGTTCTTGTTTAATCTGCGTGAACAGTGTTCTAGGCGTGAGGTTCTGCCAGTCGGGTGTGGGTGGTGGGGATGAAGTGTGATTCTTCTTAGACCTCCGTCCTCTAGAGCGAGTCGCTTTGGCCGGGGCTTCACATATACTAGCCACGGGGTTAGGACACGCTCCCAAAAGACAATTCAGGAAATGAGCCACCGCTGCACTCGTACACATCGCTTCACAGCCCTGGAATATTATATATAATCTATTATAAGCTGACTTTACTTTATTAACAATGTCTATTTCGGTTATAACTCGTTATTAAAACTTTTTTTTTAATTATTGTATCGATTCAAAAATAGAACGAAAGAGTTTATATGTGTCATTTTCTGACTGTCGAAAGACTTGACAAGTGACAAGCATATTGATTGATGTATATAAATATAGATGTACTACCTATTATTGATTTCCGTCGAAAGTTTACAGATAAATAAATTGAGAACGTGCAGTTATTTCTCGGTATTATTATAAAAAAATATTCGTTAGTTACGCAATACATTATTAAAATTTTATATAATTATAATTGACGTCAATGTTATAAATTAATTTTCACTGCCAACGATCGCAGTTGGCAGGGGAGTTGATTAATTCATATCGCGAAGTGAACTATAGTTTCGTAATCTATTGAGAATTAAAATTATTTTAACAAATAAAAGACAATTTACATTTATATACTTTCCATAATAGATATACTATATCCTAGCTGAAGCTTTGACCAACTATCGGGTACCAGATAATGCTTCTATAAATTATAATTTGCACATAAATGTCGATTTTACATACCAAATCTCAATACAAAAAAATACGTTCTAAAATCTTTTGTTGAGCATTTAAGTTACCTTGTATGTAATGTAACAAATTATAATATCAATATAAATGATATTTTCAAACAAAAAAACTCACAATACGATAATCAAAGAATAAAACATACGTTCAGAAATCTTTCGAAGGTGATAAAGGATAGTTTGCATAAGTTATTCCAACTATATTGACCCAAAGCAAGCAATGGTTTGAACTTAGGAAAGTAATATGAGTGATTGCTGTCAGATGTGTGTATTACCTGTAGGTAGGGCGTGTATATATGTTTGGCGGCTCTCAGCAGCAGGTCTGCCAGAGCTATGGCGTGTAAGTATGAGAGCGAGGCGTGCGGCTTTAAGGCGACTGTGACTCGACCCAGGTAGCGCACGTTGATCCCGCGTGCGTGGAGCGCCTCAGTAAGCCCCGCGCCGTCCATTGGCGCTGATGTATGCTCCAAACACTCACGGACCTACGAACATTATTTATTATTATAAAAACAAGCTTTATTCACTTTATTTTTATGTATTTATTATCTATAAAGACAAAATAGTACACATATTAGTCTTAAGATACAGATTACTATATAAGTAGATTAAATAGTATAAGAAATCTTAATTAAAATATGTCGAATTAAGTTCGATTAAAACTTTTAGGTATACGTCATATGCAATGAGATGATTATTATTATCCTACTAATATTATAAATGCGAAAGTTTGTGTGCGTGTATGTTTGTTACTTCTTCACGCTCAAACGGTTGGACCGATTTTGATAATTTTTTGTATACAGGAAGCTGACGTCCAGGAATAACACATAGGCTACTTTTCAACGATGAAATCCGCGGGTAACACCGCGGGGCGCAGTTGGTTTTATATATAACGAGATATAATATAAAGTACATACAAATGCGGGTATCTGTGTAGTGAGCAGGAATGCGGCGGCCTCTTTGACCAGGTGTCTCTGTCGCGCCAGTTGTTCGGGCGCGGCCGCGTGTTTGATGCCCGCCGAGTACACGTCCGGGTTGAACCGCACATCGAACTCCGACTCCTTGAGGGACGCCACCGCCCGCGCCGCTGACGACACCACCGCCCGAGAACCTTCACCTGCTATACAGAGATTATTTATTACATAACATGAATTGTTATATAATATATTTATATCTAGCTTTCAGGCCGCAGCTTCGCCCGCGTGGAGTTCGGTTATATCGCGTTTCCAAGAGAACCTTTCAAAAGTCTGAGATAAGAACTATCATATGTTCTTTCTCAAGATCAACCCTATGTATGTACCAAATTTCATTAAAATCAGTTCAGTGGTTTAGGCGTGAAAGCGTAGCAGACAGAAAGAGTTTCGTATTTATAATATTATAGTAGGGATTATTGTTAATCTTTGTCGTTAGTATTGTCTTTTTGATAGATAACTAAACGTTTTTGTTTTCAAAGAGGTCTGTATGAAGAATAATATTTGTAGTTATTGGTGGTCTGTGTCGTTGGTATCGTTTTTTGATAGATTACTAAACGTTATGATTTTGTAAAGAGGTTTGTAAAACGAAAAAAAATATTACTTTTAAAAAAGGAAGGAAATAAATAAATCTATCCAATTGAATATTCTTAATGTTAGATATTATCCTTATACAAGAGATTTTTATATTATAAAGGAATGTCAGTATACTTACAATCTGTCTCTTGTTTCCCTCCGCTACAAATCGAGTCTGTGATACTCTCAACGATCTTTTTGGCGACGTCTGTATCGATGTCGGAGTAGTTTTCACTCAGCAGCAGTTCATCGACCTTTTCTTTAATATTAACATCTATATTTTCAGCATCATCAACATTAACATCATCTTTTTTGGCATCTAGTTTATCTTGTTTATCTTTTTTCTTATCTTTGATTTCCTTCTCCTGACTCTTATTGTCTCTCTTAGTCAATTTTTCAGTCTCTTTTACAGCCTCTTTCTTGTCAATATCTTTATCTTTGCCTTCTATAGATTTCTGTTCCGTTTTACACTGACGCTTCGCACTTAACTGCTGTAGGTGGAACGCAGCGTAACGTATGAACATGAAGTATCTCGCCCTGAAATATATATTGATACATTAATATCAGAATAATTATATATAAATGATAATAATATCATAATCATTACTTACTCGACGAAACTATCGACTAATTCTTGTCTAAGGCAGCATAATTTGTGCTTATGTATGATTGGGAAGCCCATTGATTTTATATCCTCCCGTAATTCGTCGTCTTCCACTGAGAAGAATCACATATTTGATGGTTTAATAATAAAATAAAATAAAAAATAAAAAAAATATTGTCTATGCTCACGTTGCAGGAAGTTGACATCCGGCGGGAAAGTTCGTAACAGATCAAGGATGTAATGGCGGCCGTCGTTTCCGATAATACCTTTGCATTCGACACTCGAACATAACTCCACTGTCTCACCGTTAGCACTTATTACTGAGTGCGGCATTATCTTCAATTGTTGACCGGCTTTGCTTAACTGAATAACGAATATATAGATATTTTTAATATTGATGACTATTTACTTAAAATATAATTAAATTAACATTGCAGAATAAAACTGCACACAGATAAAAAATAACTCATTAGTTATATAGTAAAAAAAAAAGATAAATTTAATATTTGCACTTATTTCAGTTTAAAAAAAAAGTTAAAATTCCAAAAAAAATTATAAGTTGACATAAATTATTATCAATGATTTAAAATTAAAATAAATATAGCATCCAGATATCCAATTCACTTGTCATACATTAATATTATTTGTAGTTAATATTTCCCATATCATAGTGATTCAAAATTAAAATAAACCTAGCAATCAACTATTCATATTAATTAATACAGTAATGTTGTTTGTAATTCATAGTAATAGTTATAAATAGTCAGTGGTGTCCTAATGGTTAGAAGGCCCGCCTCTCGTTGCCGAGAGCGCGGGTTCGATCCTGGCCCGGGCGAGTACCAATGTGTCTTTCCCGAGTCATATGTACTTTCTAAGAATATTTAGACATCACTGATTATTGCATTCCCAAAGAGGGTTCATGTCAGGCAGGCGGCCGGTCGTAAAAACAATTAGCCAAAATATTCACAACATGTAATGCAGAGCCTGGCTAGAGCTGGGAAAATGTCAGCTAGAAGAAGAAGTACTATGTAGTTATAGTGTACGTACCAGTTCCATATATTTAGGGTGTGAGAGCACTGTAGTACCGAAGTCAATGCTGCCGTACACCACGCTCTGTTCTTGCTCCTTTTCTAATATCCCGGGTATGATAGACTGTGCGGTGACTCGATACCCGCGGTAATCAACAACCACTGTCCCCAGTGTATGTAGACCCGCTGTATCCACAGCGCTGTATACACGGACGCCTTGGAGGTCGTTACGCTGAGGGTTTATATAAAATGGATGATATAGATAATTATTATTTATTTTAAGTCTATTTTATTCAGCATATTAAGACTGATAGTGAGTTATATTTTTATTTTACCTTTATTGTTTATTAATTTGTATATGAATAGTATTTTACACAAATTAATTAAATTTATTTATATATGATAAAAACTTAGTATGTAACAAAATTGTCCGACTTAGCTAGATTATTCCTAAATATCTGGTTACCGAGTTTTGCTCGGTATTTAGGAATTATTAGTACTTATGTTGTTTTTTGTTATTTTGTTTAGGCATTTTTAAGTGAACACTTTAAGAAGGCATAAAACAATATAATTCAACAATTAATTTCTCAGTCTAACTTCAAAACAAACACTCATTGACTATCTGTTACTTAACAACGCCATCTGCTGTTGTGTCGTTAAAGAAATTAGCAAAAAGTTTGATTATTATAGATGTCAGGAAGAGCCATATTTTAAACGAATCCTTTTTTTCATAAAGTGACTTTTCCTAAAAATTATTTCTAGCTAGATCGATTTATTGCCCCCGAAACTCCCTTTATACTAAATTTCATGAAAATCTTTGGAGCCGATTCCGAAATACCAATTTATATATATATACAAGAATTGCTCATTTACAGATATAAAAGGATATGGGAAAGTCCAATTTAATTGTGACTCTATATTAATGTAAACAAATATCATACCGGTGCCACAAACGCCGCAGCGTCCCCGCCCAGGTCCTTGTAGTGATCGCGGACATCGAAACCCAATGAAAAGAAGATATTGTTCCAGATGAACATCTGCATCTTGGGCTCCTCGCCCGGGTTTATAGCCATCACATTACCATCGACAACCGCCATGGCACCACGTGTCGCAGCCGCTACGAAATCACTGTGCACCTGCATACAAACATCATATATTTCTCATATATTTGTTTTATTTCAATCTATTTACTTATTAAACTCGTGTTTTATACTGCTTATACGGCTAGTGCTAGTTGATATACGGCTACTGTTAATATTTTGCAGTATTTAATTTATTAAAAAGAAATGGGCCTTATATTATGGTATATTATTCTCTCCAATGTCACAATATATCAAACTGACATGACATAAAATATGATATAAATTTTATAATTTTAAAAGGTAATTATTCGATAAATAGAAATTGTCCTAAGTTCATGAACTTTTAAGTATAGGGCATTCCCCGCATACCTTTAATATTACCACGGAACGCATACGAAATAAACTCATCTTACTCTACAGTCTTTACTAATATACAAGATTATATGTATGTATTTTTGTTACATTTCCACAAAAAAATGTTCTATAAAATTGTAGTACCAAATAGTAGTTTATCTGTTATGGTGATAATCCTATACTATAATTACAAATATGTTTATATATAGTACGCCACCTTAAATATAGCCCTTTCCCTCAACAGTCTCTCAGGTAGCGTGGCCCGAGGCAGCTCGCGTGTCGTCTGTAGCTCCTCGTTCCAGTCGCGAGTTTGACCCGGGATGTGTTCCTCGTAACCCAGCTTGGAGGAGAACGCTGAAACAATATAATAAATATTAGTAAAAACTATTGTAATGGTAGCGGAAAAGCTATTGAGAAAGAATCAGATTGTTCGAGAAAATTCTCTAAATGTACTAAAATACCCATCATATATATAGTAGTATTATGACTTATTATATTTGCTATTAGTTTTGTTGTGAGATTAAATACATATTATCAAGTAAAATTATGTAGCGGGTTGATTATATTTACTTGGGGCAAATATACTATACACTTGAAAAATTCATTAATTAAAAAGTTTTGAACATTCTTATTATACAACTGTATTGGACTGATAGATGTCGTATGCAATCTTTAAAACCATCGTATAATCAGCGAAATACTATATTAATATCACGTGACCCTGTGTGCATGTTCATATTTTATATACATGTGCTCGGTGACAAGCATACTATATCAAAATTACTTGTAAAACTACTTACTAATATTAAATAGTGTATAATGTGTAAGCTATATTTATATACAAAATATACAACATACTATCTTCGGCTCTGATAGCATCCACTGTATGATCAAGCATCGGAGATGCCCACTGGTACACTTGGTAAGGCGTGGCGACTCTTTCGAAGGGATGTTTCTGCATCCGTCTCTTTTGCACCAACGCGAAATTCCGTTTGAAAGCGGGAGACACAATACTTAGAAGCTCGATTAAGGAATGACACAGTAAGGACGGGTTGAATGGACGAGGGTTGAACACTTCTTCGGTGGATCTGAAAAAGACATTTATTATTAAGTTAACTATGTTCCTATTATAAGTTATATTAACATAAATTTATTAAATAGCATGGTAGTTCGTCGCCCAAAAAAGTAATCACTTGAAATCAAAATTCATAAGCTTTATTTAATTTAAATGATTCCGGGTTTGAATAACTTACTCAGGATAATATACAGGGTGACTGGTGAATTACTATCGATACTTGAGGACGTTATATTTGACGATCATATATGACAAAATAAAAATTAATATAACATAAATATTAATAAACTTCTAAGTAAAGTTAACCAAAAGTTATGTAATTAATTACGCATCGTGTGCACACCCTACAGATTAGGTATACACACACACACACACTCGCGCGTGGCGTGGCGTGGTGTTGTATCAGCACGCCGCCGCACGCGTCATACTTGGAACACTTGGAACGTGTCCACAATTTATTTATTTATACGGAAATTTGGTCAAAAATTAAGTACCTATTTTTTTACATAATTCGAATGAGAATCATGTACCGAGTATTCTCCTTAAATATTGTTAGTAATTCACCAGTCACCCTGTATATGATATTTAAGTACACATTACATATCATATATGCGTTAATAAGGATTAAATCAAGCTAAAAACTCTTTAGATTGAAATTAAACAAATCTTTAAGTTATTATATAAAATAATCTTACTGATTTAGATAAAAGCCTCTAGCACAGGCTGTGATGTGGAAATGTCTATCTTCAAGTGTGACTACGTGAAGATAGAGTAGGTCACCGCACATCTTACGAGGGCCGGGGGGAGGGTTCCAGCCAGACGTAGTTAGTACCTATAATAATATACAATAATTAGGACATTTGCAAAAAAATATTAATAAGAAATATATGTTAGGATTACTTGAATACTTGTTTTTGTCAAAGACTATAGACTAGCTATTTATGCCGCTATCTTATACAGGGTAAAATTTCATCATCAAAACCTTTCTAGCAATTTTTGCATGGAGGAATAATAAACATCCATTAACTTCCGTAAATCCTGGAAAACATTCTAAATTACAATATTACTTGGATATATATAAACTATTTAATATGTATAACCTAAAATTCAAACAGAAAATATAAAATGCTAAATTCATTGACACGGTCAGGATTAGAACTGCTAAGTTCAGGAATACTTGGTTCCAATTGCTCTACAGGCATTATTTCTGAATTAAATTCATTGCAATAACGGCATTATTATAATTATAATAAATCCGTTATATAACAACTTCTAATGCAATAATGGGCAATTATATACATATACTAAAATATAACTTCATATAATTTTTACCTTAAGACATTGCGGTGCTTTATTTTCTTTGGTGAGTCCAGGATGCAGAGGCAATAATGGTCGGTCTACACTACCGGGCATGATGTAGTCTGGAGGGGTGCAGTCAACGCTTTCTGGACGAGATTTCTTCTTCTCTGAAACATTATATATTAAACTTTCAAAACATGTCCATAACATAATTATTTATATTATTGGTTGTAGGTCCTATGATGCAAAAAAAATAGAATTTTGTTTAAGAATTATGATTTAGTATATTTGATAATATTATTAAGTGGTGCTATAGTTAACTTGGGCATAACCTCTGTAAAACAGCAGTATCAACTCTCAAGCATCAACAACAACTGGTCAATAGCTCCATAATACCTGATAAGATTATGAGAATCTTCTTCTTCCTGGCAATTTCCCAGCTTTAGCCAGGGTCTGCGTAGACTTATTATATTATAGTTAAGATTATGAGAATATATTTACCTAATATATCCCCCTGTGTGACGACATTTAGGAAGGCTAGCGAGCTGCACTCCTGGCCGGCGTATGCGTCCACATAGTCTATGGACTTGAGAAGATCACGAACATGACGTACATGGATACGAGCCTCACGCATCGTGTACGGCTCTTCAACCACCTGAAGAATTAAATAGCCAATGATATATTATACTTCTAAGGATACTATTGGATTTAACTGTAGTCTAGCTATCAATAATCATTGGCCTAAGCAAATCCTTCCTAATCCATAATAAAACGTGATGGACATCAGCGAATGAGTTTCAAAAATTTAAAATAAAAATAAAATAAAAATGCATAACACAAAACTTCATATGACATTTAATGCTAGAGCATTCCTGCAAACAAAAATCAGGAAATAATAATTAATCGAACACCAAATTCAAGTGTTATCGATTCTAGGTAGGATCTACTACGTCAGCCGGTAGAAAAATATTCAAAAACAAATGAAAACCACATCTTAATATGTAATATTTAAGTAGACGTTTGAAAGACAAGTGTCATTTACATCTAAAAAGTGTCTAAACTTTAAAGAGACAGTTCAAAATTCAAATACGAAAATGTAGTTTGATTTAACATGCATAAATACTACTTATACGAATCGTTACACTTAACCCAACTGAAGGAAAAGTCATAGGAATAAAAATAATATTTTTGGGATATGTTACGTTTATAATTATTTTTAACAACAGACTCCCGACGTTTTATTTACTTTGCAGCAACCGTGATGACGGGCAAAACAAAAAAGGATTATAAACGCGTAGTAAATCCGAAAAATATTAATATTATATCAACGAATACTCGCGAAAATCTTAAATCTCATTAAGTGATAGGAAATTACTTGCCTTTATTACTGAGCCTTCTTTGAGGCCTTCGATGTTCTTCAATTCCGCAAAATTATCTAAAGTAACGCCGTCCAGTTGTAGGGAGAAGCAGGTTCTATGACAAGTGTCTTCGCGATCCATGAGCACCTGATGTATCTCTTGGACAAGCTCCATGCTAGACACCTGCAAATAACATCCATACATAAGCCTACTAAAGAACATATATTTTACATCCTACTAATACTATAATTGCGTAATTTTGTGTGTGTGTATGTTTGTTACTTCTTCACGCTCAAACGGCTGAACCGATTTTGATACAATTTTGTATACAGGAAGCTGACGTCCAGGAATAACACCTAGGCTACTTTACATCCCGGAAAATGTTCGACCTGTTAATCCGCGGGTAACACCGCGGGGGGCAGCTAGTGAAGGAATAAACCATACCTGTATATCTAATGGCTCAGCCTTGGGGCTGACTATCTTAACAGTGAATCCTAAGTCTTGTATGAACACAACTTCGGCATCTCTTTTCTTCTCATCAGCATCCTCACTAGGTGTTGATTCCCTCTCTTTCTCTCCATTAACCATTTTGGCATCCCCTTTGGATTTATCGCTATCTTCCTCAACGCTCTTCACAGGTTCCTCTGCCTTTACAAGAACCTTCTTTTCCTCTGCCTTATTTTTATCAGCCAGCTTCTTATCTTTCTTCTTGCCACCAGTTTTTGGTAAAGCGACCTTAGCCGGTGCATCTTGTTGGACGACCGCGTCCTGACTTTCGTCCGATCTATTCGACTTCGTATCATCTGAATCACTGTTAACACCATTAGAAACTACTTTACTACTACTAATATCACAATGGGAAACATTCTTCGGGTCACCATTGACAACTTTTATGTTGGTATTCTCAGTGCCGTTTAATATTGGTTCTTTGGTAATTAATTTATCTTTATTGGAGCTATCACTATCATCCGACTGTGTTTTTTCACCGTTTAATTTATTAGTTTGAGTTTGTAACGTTTTTTCGCTGTTAGTCTTTCCTTTGGGGCATTCTGAAAGCAGTCGTAATAGGCTAGTATGTTAAGAGTTAATAAAATTTTATGTGTAGCTTTCTGAATGATTAATAAACTAACCTGCGTTTGGCGGTAGTTGTTGTGTGGTATTTGCCTGTGGGGAAGACGCTTTACGTGCGGCCGCAGCGTACGACACACGAGGCAAAGCGCTGCCGCCGCCCTCGTCATCAGAGCGACCGTTCGGTGTTCCGGCGTGTCCATTGCTACAATTAACTATTTTCACATCCGTATCCTTTTTCATCTTTCCCGCTTTCTCGGCTTTAACGACTAAAACAATACAATATTTCGTAAATAGAATGTATTAACGTTTTTAATGAACCTTTCATTAACATAAAACGCATCCCATTGAACTCACTATAATTAATTAGTGAAACGCTCGCTACATTAAATGTTAACTGTGTAGATTGATGGATAGCATCTAATGGGGATAATGACTGAACAAATATTTAGAATCATTTGCATTCTCGTGTGGTTTATTTGAATATTTTCGGTCAGTAACTTGTTCTTATTCAGTTTTGTAGTGGAAAAACTCGATATACGGCACGTCAATCGAGAACGCATGTCTTGTCCCGTGACCAATGAGCACGTGGTTAGCGCTGGCGCAACGCCAAATATCTCCAGCCGCGAGTCAATAATAGATAGCTAAGAGATGCCGCCAACAATATACTATACAGACGCCGCACTACTTTCATCAATAACATACATATAATAAAATAACTAATTACAACACTATACTAGTCTATAAAATCAGTAAATTACATGACGATTCATTATAATTATTTACTTCTAAACTATGTTTACTCATATATATGTATAAATCAAATAGACATAATTCAAATCGAAGATCTATTAACTACTAAATGTTCTTATGTGTATGATTATTTAAATTTGTCCTACATTCATATTATCAATATAATGACGACGAGTAAATAGGCGTGTGTGATAAGGAGACGAACAACAATTATAATACAGATTCTATGTTAATAAGGTTCATTTTGATAAAAACAAAGTCATTAAAAACACGATAAAAAACCATATAGGAAAAGTGTCGTGCGAGAATGTGATATGGAACTTAAAGTTTATCTTGCTTGTCTTCAGCAAACAAGATAGCGGAGGTATGACGACCATGCCTTGAGATATTAAATCAAAATTTATGATAAGGTGCCGTTGACACAATTAATTTCCCTGCCGTGTGAATGCTATCAAACGAGCAGGTATTTCACTTGGCTGCACACATGAAATAATATCTTAATTATAAAGAAACGAAGACGTTTCAACCTAAATCATAGTAAAAAACAACCTTTACATGTACTACGTCCATCACATGAGATAGCGTCCAAGTTTGACGTCATACCATACAAGACATGGAATAATCGGAAATGTTGAATTTGAATTCACATAAACATTATCTGTTACCGCGGAGTCGACCTGAGCAATAGCGTCGCCGATCAATAAATTATGCAAGAAGAAGCCGCCTTGCGCTGGCACACCGATCGCTCGATATTTAAACTTTATATTTTCAGATTATTTTAATACTTTTCAACCGTGTTGGATGGTACTGATCTTCCTGTACTTTGAGGGCTCTTGAAGATTATTTGAAAAAAATTTGACATATTTACAACAATAAGACATTTATTTATTCTCTTAAACGGCATTATATACAGACAATACTTATTTTTACATACAGCCTCGACTACAATACTATTTTTGTCAATGAAAATGCTTCTTAAATGTATCTATTTTATGAGTTTATTATAACTTATAAAAAAAATATATTTCGTCAACCAGATAGTTAATGAACGTCAATCGATAGATAATCTACAAGCCAATTATCAGTTTACGTCAAAAATATATGAAAAAAAAAAATAAGAGAGAATCAATATTTGTGATTATAATCTTAATAAACATATCCATAATGTGCGCAGATAGCTGCGTATATCAAAACTTAACTCTTAAGGGGCACTGCAATACTACTCATATTTATAACTTGCATGGCAACTGCTAAATAACATTATATAACATGAGACAGGTTGGTTGCGAACATGACACGCTTAAAAAAAAACATTTGTTATATTTATAGCAGGAAGTGTTTTATATAATAATAATACATTTGATTGACTGAAATGTAAATTATTATTCTATATAATTTACATATTAATTTTCATATGTCGTCATAGCAATAGCTAAAATGTAAAAATAGATCCGAATCTAATTTATATATTATAATTTGGCGTTGCGTATGCTATTATGTTTATTTCGTCATATTATAAATATTTGTAAGCAGCTACGTCTATTTATTGATTATTGTATCCATGGTATTAATGACAGCAATTTATGTATCTCGCTTATAATGTATCGTCTAAAATCAATGCTACGTATACAATGACGTTTAAATGCTATTGGCCGTACTTATTTTTTTTAGCTTCTAAAATCTAATCTAACAACGAATTTGTAATAATATCGTGATATTTTTCGTATTTCAAAAACCGTTACATGTAGATAATATATGTGTAGGACTTCATTTTCTTTCGTCTCTTGTTCAAATTAGTGTTTCATCTCATTAGTATCTCGAGACGACACAGTTACGATGCGGCTTCACAGCGCATTATGTTAACTTCACGTTTTAATATTTATATATAGCACAACACTAGAACACGCATTGTTGAAAATCGGTTAACTGTACATTAGAGCTGAGATGAACATTACTTGAACAAATGTTACCGAAACGACTCTAATACATACAAACTTCGTGTCGTGATGTTTAAATTTAATGTCGCCTAAAATTATTATATATAAAAATCGTCATAGTGAAACGATTTCATTTGAATAATAATAAGAACCGTTAGGGGCGATATCATTCTTATCTTTAAAGCAAAAAATCACATCACATTATTCCTTATCGTATAACTAATATCAATCTAACTTGTCAAGAAGGTTTGTTAACTTTTGTGCTGTGAAAAATAACTACGTAGTGTCCCCATTACTATACTGTCTTATGAGAAATAAGATTAAAAAATATTATTAATGTCAAAGTAATAGAATACATGCTGTAATGGGATAGGAGTTAACAATAGAACAGAAGTCTTGTATTAATTTACAAAGACTATAACTTCCTTGTATTCTAGTATGTCATAACCAATGCCCGTGAGGGAATAATGTGGACTATTTATTGTTTCATAAATATGTATATGAAATTTAATAGTACAAGGGATGGCTTGTAACACGGAAGAGGAGTCGTATTTTTTATTAAATTTAATGTTATTATTGAAATGTTCATTATATGCTATTGAAAATGGAAAGGAGCGGAAACGAAAAAAATAATTTTTTTTTTTAGAAAGTTAAGTTAATGGCACAAAAGTAGAATGCATGCACCTGCAAGCCGTTCTTGGAGTAAATAACTAAAAACCTCAAAAAAAACATTTTTATAATAATAGTTTTTAACTCATTTTGAATCGGATCAACTCTGGATATATTTCAAATAGGCAAAGCAAACAAGAAACAAAATGTGTTCATGAACTAAACGTAAATTTTTAACAATGATAAAAAGAAAAATGTGTCAGTATCATTTAAATTTTTTCCTGTGCCTCTAGCAACTAACTAATCGAGCGTATTATTACAATTTAGCGTGTTGTCGCAGTCAACTGCGCTTTAATCACTTACCATCGAAACTGTTACTTACCGTTAGGGAATATAGTATTTACCGTCGTTTCCGTAACTATTGTATCGATTTAATATGAATTTTATCTTGCTACAAAATTCTAAACTACAGGAGAGCCGACCAGATCGCGTGATTATTGATTAAAAAAAAAAACAGAAATTTTACATATTCTAAATTTAAAAATAAGTCATATTTGAATTATCAAATACATCTAAATGTTCCAACGACGAAAATTTATAAATAGTTATGTCAATCTTACTGAAATGAAATATAATTTAAAAGCCACATTATACACCTCTCCCAAGTAGACAAATAGCTATCACCGAGTTAATTTACATCATAAACATATGATAAACACATGTATCTCCATCAACATTGGTTGTCATTCATACTACAATATGACAAGTCATTAATGTGACTGTTGCATTTGTAAAATTTAATGTAGACATTTCATGAAATTACAAATCGATATATCAAAAATATATTTTGTTATTAACATAACAATTCATAATAATAATTTTGTCGAAACACATTTTGTCAGTAATATTAAAACTACATCAAAATAAATACTAAGCACATTACAAAATCTGTGTTAGTTTGCTAACAAAAATCTTTTCCTTTATAAATTTAAAAAATCTTTTATTCTTTATCGACTACTAGAAATATAGGACCCCTTATATTTATTTCATGAATAAGCAATGATTGAGATAAGTCTCAACAAAGAAGGTCAAAAGCTACATCTATATAAAATTATCATATCCGTCACATTTCTTGGCTGGTACAATAAGGCTTCAATAGCCTTTTTAATATAATGGACCTCAGAAAAAAAGAGACAATGGAAGTCAGTTTCTAAACATAATATAATTGAAATTACTGAACCAAATATAACATGTACATATTTTATAAAAAATAAAATAAATAAACTATACATGTAAAAACAAATCCAACAATACTTACAAGTCTTAGTAGTAACAGTAACTAATATTATCAATTTTTTTTTAAAAGATTAAAACAATAGAAATTTTTTGTCTATTCATATTAATTTAGACAACTATTTTTATATCACAAGCATTGTCAAATATTAATAAAAAAAATCTTTTTTTTCTATTGTTTTTCATAAATTCTGATCTAACCTATTATTAGACTATTATAAGGAAATTAGAGATATGTCAATATATTTTATATTGAAGTCTAAGTAGTTTTTTTTTTATTTCATTTCTTTCTAGATTAATGCTTTCAGACAACTGAAGCTAATTAAAATTTTCATACTGTCAGTGCACTTATATAATATGCGTATTTTGTATTGTGAATAAATTTTATTCTCATGATATGCAAATAATTTACACCATTACAATACAGTTATTATGTTATTTTTTAATATGTTGTGTAATAGATTTTAATTAATTGAAAATTTTATAGTTCGTAAAAACTATGCTGTATATATTTTTTAAAAGATATAATTATATCCTTCACTTGGATCTAATAAGAAATATAGGTGTAGTTAAAAACAATTTCATAAAAAATTTAATAATTACATGAGCGTATCACATGTTTTCTGTCACATGACTGGAGATCACAATTGATGTTATATTTAAAAATATATTTTATTTTGTCTTACAGATTTATTACTAACACACTCAATGTTACATAACTGAGGGCATGACCATTTTATACCTTACCTTTATTAACATTATCACCGCCACTTTTTTCGCTAAGATTGTTAGTCACAGGACATTTTTTCACTTTCTGTGAAGACTGTTTAGGAGCATTATCATCATTCACTTCACTACCGAGAGCCATAACAACACGAGGAGTAAATCCGGCACTGACTGACCGCGATGAGCACGGTTCTACACTCAGCTCAAAGAGCACATGCGGTATAGATAGAGTTCAATTTTGTATAGCGCAGATTGAAGTTCACTTATTACCCAACCGAAAAAAACAGATGAGATATTATATTGTTATTTCAAATTTCCTTTCCTACTTAATTTTTCCTTGTTATAGATCTATATATGACATAATTTCCGTGTACTATATTTTATATTGCATAATATTATTTCAGATATAGATTTTTTGTGTAAATATGATGCAGTAATGTTTTAAAAGTATTGAATAGTTTTCGTTTAAGCGACATCTAGTGAATATTTTTAGTACTGGTAAAATCAATGACTTTCCTTAGAACGGAAGCATTCTGAATTGTCGTAATCGGAGCACATGCTTGACATGTTATATGTATACACAAATTTTATATATGTATAATAAAATAAACATAATAAATGTAAACATTTTTATATAGCTGTACATATAAGAATAAATTAAGAACGTTGTTCAAAATGTAGTATAAAATATTCATAAATTTTCTGAAAAAGTCGCTAGGATTTTTATCGAAATAATACTGTGAAATTTGTTTTCATGGTGATATATGTTTTACCTAAATTATTTTTGAAAACGTATATTTTTTAAATGACATTTATTTTTGACAGCTTCAAGTTGACATTAATGTTTTTATTTATATTGTAATTTGTACTATACTTTCAATTTTGAGCTAGGCTTTAATTTGAATTTTCCGTATTTATTTTTCAAAACTAATTATTCCATTAAGCTGTTTAATTTTAACACATTTTTTCTTTCTATATTATTTAAATACCGCTAAACTGGCGTCCGAAAATTATCCTAAGGTGTTAAAAAGTGTACACAAATAGTTTTTAGTTATGGTTAATTGAAGATTATATTATATCTTTTTGTTTGTTATGTCATATTTTATAGAAAATGCTAGACGGATGGTATTGTCGGTCTATAGCTAATATGCAGGCCAATGAAGCGGCAAGTGCGAGTAATAGCGTTAGTGCGGATAACACTCACAGTCGGGACTCCCGCAAAGACTATTCAAGTGATAGCAGTAGTGACCCCGAGCCCGAACCTAATTACAGGGCACATTATTTAACTCTGAAAAAGAAATTAAAGTACCTTATATATGTAAGTGACACTACAAAATATATGTAAAAAACTTAACGAAACTTTCGAATTAATAACATTCTTTTGTATTTTTAAACTATTTTTAGGAAAACGAGTGCTTTCAAGATGCTTTAAGATGCAGTCAAAAACGGTTACTGAAAGTATCTCGAGATAGAAGTTTTCTATTAGACAGATTACTGCAGTATGAAAAACATGATAGTTCTACCTCGGACAGTGAAGACACAGAATCCTCTGATGATGCCACTTATAACAATGCTGAAGTTGTAAAAAGGTATTTCATTTTTTTATAATGACAGTGAATAGAAATTTCATGTTGGATTGATTCTATAATAAATATTTGTCTAATAATAATTTTATTAAGTTGATTTGACTTTTATGATAAAGTACAATGGAGTGTTAGATTAATATAAAAATTATGCAAATATTACCATCATTTTAAAATAATTTTTACAGAAAATTATATATACAATAAACAATCTATTCTATATAATTTTTCTAATGTTTTGTAACTGGTTTGATGATATCTCATTGCTTTTATTATCTAAATTTCAGAAAAAAGCCTGAAACGAGTGCAGCCCAACAATCTTTACCGACCCCATCAGCAGTCAATAAAGGTCTCAATAACACTATGAAAAGGAAAAGAGCCGTTGTCCCTAAAAAAACACCAAATGCTAATAATCCAGTAAGACAAAGTATTAAGAACAATAAAAAAGAATTACTTAATATATTTTAAAATAGAAAAAGATAATTATGAATCTTTTAAAAACAATCTTAATAGATAATTTAGGTAAACAATTGAACTTGTATTTAAGAATCTAAGCGATCAGATATTATTTCAGCATCAAGCTAGTGCTGCTCCAGTGAAGTGTTCGCCTCTCGGCCTTGGTTTATCAGCTGGTGATGGACACATGACCCCCGAGGAAGTGGAGCGGCACCTGCAGTCTCGACAGTCGTTCTTGGAACTGCTGCCAGAACGCGCGCCGCCCACTGTACCTACAGAAATGTTCAGCAATGACCCGTCACTTGATAGGTTAATTGTACACCAACCGCAATTCATGTGCATGATCATTTATTCACAATATTGCAATTATTATATCATATATACATACATTCCATCATCATAGGATTTTGTTAGGTTTTCAATTAAGTAATTTGGGCTATTAAGTAATCGAAAAAAATTTTTTTTATGACTAACTATATATTCAACATTAAATATAATATTATTAATAAATTAGTACAAGTACAATTTATAATACATTTTAAGTATTGCTAACAAACGACTGATGTTAGGACATATTTATAGTAAAATATGTAATATGCGCCTATACATCGCTATTGGTGGGTATACTTGTATAATTTTAGAGTGATTTAGTATACTAGCAGACGGAGTTAAAGAATTTTTCTCTGTATATATGTATATTATTATATTTGGTCGCAAAACTAGCTTTGTTTTTTGCTAACATAGCAAGAAACCCATTTTATCGGTTAAGCAAGTGACTATTGTGTCACTAGGTTTTTTCAACAGCCGTTTTTGCCTTTATTTTTTATCAATTCGTACAATCATCTTTTCATATATAACCATAATACATGAATAAATACATACATTAGACCTATATACTGAATAAAACGTTATGCAACATAACTGAATAATCGCCAACTTTTGAAGGGCGAATAAGGGCGTTTCAAAAGAACTCTTTGAAGTTTTAAGTATAGTAATGTGCTTTTTATGCTTATTTCAGTGAATCAAACGATGTTTTGGAAAATTCGCCCAATGTCGACGAATGGCTTGATTAACAGTTCCTGTACATCACTACGGTGAAAGAGAAAACAGAAACTACATCGCCAAGAAAAAATGATGTCAGATACATTCTTAGAGATGTAATAATTTTAAGTAATATCAATAAATGTTTAGTGAAATACAAGCATTTAAACTCATCAACAACATCCTTAATACGATTTAGGTTTAAATAGTCAGTTCAGTTTAGTTTAAATATTGCTTAACACACGACTGTTTAAGATAAAAAAGTGTGAAAACTGGATGTTAGATAAAAAATAATTAGTCATACAAAGTGTACAGATTAATATATTAAACTAGTAATTAATTAGGAAATTATTGGAATGTATTTTGTTACTCACTTTACAAATAGATGAGTACAAAATGAAAAGAAATAAAAGATCATGATAAATATGTACTGGTTAAATATTTATTTAGACAATTAATAAGATACAATATATTTTCAAAGCGCAAGAGCAAACATTTATTGGAACCACTCTCAATTTTCATGCTGTATTTATACAATGTAATCACACAATACTATGTGTTTATACTATCCAATAAGATGAATAACTCTTATATAACTCATAATATACATGTAATATCTTAAATACATAAATATTTGAAGCATATTATAATTTATTATATATCTTTATTTCAAACAAATCTACCATGCAAAAAGCTTCAGCATGCTACATATCAATAACAACATTAAATATTCCGTACAATGCTACTGTGCCTATACTAGATCTATATAACTATGTTATTAACATAAAATTAAATTACACATCTAATTTTTGTGAGATTCCTATAAACTGATGAGTACATGTAACAAGTTAGATTTCAGTTCAAAAATGTGCTATGGAAGGTACATGGCATTTTGTTGGTATACATGTAGCAGACATTAATAAATAGCTATTATACAGGTATAGAAACTTCAAATAGATATAAAATTCATAGTCGCATTTGATGCCTCGTTAACTAAAGCATAAATATTATAACATAAGAGCTACACATTATAATCAGAAAATAATAAGACTATTATAAACAAGAGTATAATGATTTACGTAAATTCATGTTTCAACATAATCTGCATCATACAGCAGTTAAAACAGTTGATATTAAAAAAAGATTAATATACCAATAATAAATTAACAATTATCATACGATAATTTACATTAGAGTAATGTTAAAGGAACATGAGAAGATGCGAAAGACAGTTCACTAAATGTGTCTAAACGTACAAGTTTCAGAAAAATATTTCTAAATCTATTTAGTTACTAGACTGAAATTTTTAATAACATTACAAAGGTGTGTATGGTATATTCTGTTTATTATAACAACTTTTAATATTGAATACAAAATATATTAATAACAGGTTGATTTAATCTCATAATTCATTAATGATAAAATGGTTTGCTGCAAATGTGATAGACATAACTTTAATGAAAGAGCAACAAGCCAACTTTAAATGATATAACTAAAACATAAATTTTGATGCATCTATACAGTTGCTCCCAGTAACCAAAGTAGTAAAAAACCATAATAAAAAACTATATAACTTATATACACATAAAATATTTTTGGTACAATTATACTTTATATCATATTTGATAAATCACTATTTTTGAACTTCATTATCAACACTAATATTAATAAACATTTTAAAATAAATCATCCAGTTGAAAAAGACAATGTACTTAGTATGGCTGTATGTTATAATACTATAACAAACACTTTTTACTTTTACAGAAATGAATTATTAAAATAATATAGAATTTCAATGCAAAATTAATTATATAATTATAAAACACTTTACTATAAAAGTAACCTAACAAAAAATATATTACTTCGTCTTTTATATACCTTACATGTTGATAAACATTTTAATAAATCTTTTTAAGCGATTATTAATGTATGTTTACAAGATTGCTAGTGATAAACATTCTACACATGAGATTTCATTACAATCAGTGTAAATTTCATAAGTGGGTCTTTTATATAACATTACTATAATTTTAGCAATATACAAACACTGAAAAACATTATAACCAGAGTTGCCATAAATTATTCCAAATTGAATATTATTAGAATTGATCAGCTAGCAAATTACATATTTCCTGTGAAACCGTTTCTTTACTTGATCTTACAGTAAGTCTAAACATTTGAGCTTGTTTGTTAGGTTCCAATCTCATTAAACATCCTACCTGCTGAACTCTTGTATGTACTATTCCTGCACATACAAAGTTGTCAGGATTGGGATCAATGCCATCTAATAATTGCATACCGAAACCAGCCAGTTTAGTTCGAGTGGCTGGGATATCTATTGCGCCTTGAGCTTTGAAAATTTTTTGCGCCCTTTGTTGTTCACCACCTAAATTCTTCCACCTAGCAAAGAATGATTCACCATTCATTTCAGTTGGTTCAAAGAATTTATTTAGTGTTAATGGCAGTTTCATTGAGATTTTCTGTGGGACATTGTTGTAGAGGAATGATACCGACATGCTCGGTGCATCAGCAAAATCTTCAATGCACTCAGCTGTCAGCATTTGTTGAATTTGAGCACCTGCTTCCAGAACAGGTTCCATAGGTTTCATTTGCACATTCAGTTTGTGCAAATCAGTCCAATGTAATTCAGGATGGACATTTTGAATAGCAGATTGTGTCTTGTTACCATAAAACAGTCCAATTCTTCCCAAATTTTGTCTGAATTCACTTTTAACTCCAATTTGTATGAGATCATTTTCAAAGAGTACTCCATTATTTTTAAACAAAAATTTCTTAATATTATTTTGTTGTACAGTAGTTGGGCTTTTCTTGGGTGTAGAGTATAAATCTCCTAGAACATCTAATAAACCATTTCCTGTAGTGGCATTAGTGCCAGGTGGAGTTGATAGACCAAGAAGATCGGCACTGGAATTATTGCTGTTAATAGAATTATTAATAACTGGAGCTGGTGTGATACTGGGTTGAGGACTCTTAGACTCCTTTACATCATCAGGTATGCGACCTGGTTTCTTCTTTTTCAGTACAGCCAAAATAGAAGATTCTCGTTCTGGGAATGCAGGCATTTCCTCCAAAACTGTTGCTAATACATCTGAACTGGCTACTATACTTAACTGCAGATATTCTGAAGCTCTTTGTTGTAATTCTACATCAGCAGATCGTAAATTTGAGTCAGCACGGAAAACTTCTTGCACTCTGTTTTTAATTTCAGGGAAGAGATTTACCAGTTTAATGTAAGTTGACAATAGCAGTGCTCTCGTAGCTGCAGAACAAAGATGATATTTTGAATGGAGCAGTTCGAATTGGACTTGTGGTGAAGATCTTGTATCACCAGCAATTAAGTTTCCAAATTCACCCAGTATGTATCCACCCACTTTTACCATATTTTCATGACAAGTTGGAGCTTGAAGGGCTTCAAAAACAGTCTTTGCTGCATATCCTTGGACTTCATCTCTATTTATGACAATTTGAATAACTCTATACCACACTTCCTCTGAAACATAATCTCCAGCTATTCTTATAAGATTTAATATGACATCAACATACCAAGTGAAGTCAGTAGCATATTTTTCAGACAGTATGGCAACTTTGAGGACCATTTCTTCTCTGATTGAATAATCAGCTGTTTCAAGATAAGCCAACATTTCTTGGACAATTTCTTCAGCATTTGTTTTATCACACATGGCATATAGTAAATCTACAGCTTGCTGTCTGACAGACACATCTTTTTCCATTTTCATAGATAAAATTACAACTTCCTGATGCTTTTTAACAGCTTCATGGGAAAATTCTGATGTTGCAAGGTGGCACATTGACTCAAGTGCTAAGTATCTTAAATTAGTTTCCCTGTTACTTAAAAATTGTCCAAGCTGATTGCACGCCCTAACTAGTAAATTAGGTTCACTATCATTGTGAATTATAAGACTTATTGCTTCAAATAGAACGGCATTCTTTGCATTTGAATGCTGCACTTTCTTTGACTTGGGAGGCTCTTGAGCTTTATTAAATATGGTTTCCAAGCATTCAGATAAACGTCCACGAACTCCAGGTTCTTCTGAAGGTGGGGTGTAGTTCTGGAGCAAGCGCAAAAGTTTAACAGATAACCAAGGAGCTGGTACAAAATAGTATGTATAATCCTGTAAATCAGTATAACTTGCAGTGACAATCCTACTAAGGCGTGCTACAGCCAGTGTGACACACCCTTTATATTCTTCTGGATTTTTCTTTACAAGTGCATCTATAAGAGATGTGGCAGCGGTGACTACCCCCATATGTGGGTCATTCAGCAGATGTATGATTCTTGAAGTCCATTCTCCTCCTGGAATAATTTCTGGACACTTACGAAACAATCTGAGAAGACATAGTGCTGCTGATTGCTTGACTACATCCATGGTGTCACCAGACACTAGTAATTTTGGAATCTCGGTTCCAAAAGCCTCAGCCATATCCTTACTGCCAATATTAGCTATACATTGTAGTGCAAGATTTACGTGAATAGGGTTTCGAGACTGCAAGTCATTTTTAATGCTCTGTATGATAAGTTTTATGAGATCACTATTAGTATTTACCAAAACTGATATAAAAAGGTATCCAATTTGCTTCTCTGAGTATTTATTGGAGGACAATAAGTTCACTGCTTCCATATGACCGAAATCAATATCATGCCCCAGCAGAAAGATAAACAGGAGTTTGCAGACATACTTCTTCTTCTGATATCCGTCTAAGGTTTTGTCACCTTTAAATTTACTACGTATGTTAGCAAGTTCTTTATTAATTCTTTTTATTTCTGCTTCTTTACTCTTACAATTCCGTATATCTGATATAAAAACTGCGAGTCCTCGCATTCCATCTCCTCTGACGGCAGGCATATTGCCAAGAGACTTGTCGAACACCAGTTTTACGCCTTTTTAACTAAACACAGCAAGATTAGTAAATGGAATCTTATGGATTATAATCCAAGTACTAAATAAGTTCCGGCTTTAATACTTCATCAGCCGTCATTAAACACTATTTCAGAATCGGTCACCGAGCTTTCTTCTACAACGCCTTCCCATATTATCTATGAAATTGAAACGTCAGAACGTTGAAACTCAATTGTTTATGGATCAATATCGCAGATCGTTTCGTCAAAAACAACAGAGAATCAATGTACTATATTGGACTAGAATAGTTATGTAACGAAATTAAGTTAATATTCTGTGACATAAAATAATTAGATAAATAATGTTAATGATAACATATATTTATTAACAACATAATTCGACAGTTTACTTTTAGAAATTAAAGAGCATATTTATGATTTTAGAAAAAAAAAAGAAAAATTAAAAAGCGACAAGGATTAGAAAGTATCTGAATAGTAAATATTTTTTAAAATCTACTTGTATTGAAACATTTCAAATACTTTTAAACCTAGTTTGTTTTTCTTGATTCATTCAAATAACATCAAAATGGAATGATTACTACTTTTGTCAGATATTAGACATCAAAAAGAGTAAAGATATTAAAAATAACTATTTTCAATTAAGTGCCTTGATCCCTGTATTTCTCTGGTAAAAATAACTTTTGCATGTGACTCGTATCATAGACAAAATTATTTTGGTTACAGATATTAAACAATTATCCACAGTTCTCATTTAGTTTTCATTTTGTATTGTCTACTCCTCAGTCCCCCTTCCCTTCCCTCGACAAATTTCCGAGTTGTGATTTGTGAATTGTGGTTGTGAAGTGCGCACTGTTTGACTGTTGGTACTGTTCGATCAGAAAGTCACAAGATTAAAAAAACACAGTTATGAGAAGTCTCTGATCAATATCTTTGAACTTAATAACCTATCATAATTTCATTGTCATGTATATATATTATGTAATTTTATAAACTTAAACATGGGTTGTACATTATTAGTTAGGCAATTGTGATTAAGGCCTGGTTTCAAAGTGCAAGAACGAATAAATGAATGATGCATTCTATATTTTGGCCAGGCAGAGTGCTATCACGTGCTATTAGAAATGGACTGTCAAGTTTTTCTAACGCTGCTGAGTTAAACGTTTCAACAAAGAAACATCCCTATTTAGTATCAGTGGTTTGTGGATTTCCTAAAGACATAGCTAATGGGCGATCCCATAAAGGACAATTTGGAGACGACGCATGGTTTTCCACGAATTTCAACAATGCAGATGTCATTGGTAAGATGTTATTATGATATAAAAAATAAATTTTATTTATCCAGACATGAAAACGTTATAACAGATTTAGAGTTATTAAATTTTTAAAAAGTAACATATGTTTTTAATAAAATAATTATTATTGAATTATTGATAATTATGTTTTGTTATAATATGACTTGCATTATTTAAAACACTTGTGATATACTTGTATGCTACATGCTAGGAGTTGCTGATGGTGTGGGAGGCTGGCGTGCATATGGCATTGACCCTGGAGAGTTCTCATCATATCTCATGAGGACATGCGAGAGATTGGTCAGGATGGGCCACTTTAAGATGTCTGAGCCCGGAGACTTATTGGCCAAGTCTTACTATGAACTTCTAGAACATAAAAAACCTATACTAGGTATGATATATACAAATTTTATATTTTTCATTGCATACAATTTAATTTATGTAAATTTTTATTGCTATAAAATTTTAAAATGCACTTTTGTAGACAGCTTATAAGAATATTTTTCTTTTTTGGCTTTACACAATAGTCATATTTTTTCCTTAAACATTTGCTATCTATTGAAAACATTAAATGGCAATTTAAACGTACAATTATGCTTTTTTATACTATTGTTTGAAATGTAGTTTTTTTGCAAGTTTATTATGTATATATAATAGTTTATTATTGATTTTATTGCTTGATCATATATTTCTTGTTACTCAATCCTTATATAGAAATATATTATCCTTATTTATTTTGATGTCACAATATTACTATTGTTGTTACTTTTATTATTTGTTTTTATATAAGAATCAATTATTTCTGATATTTCAGTTCAACTTCTTAACATTATAATTTGATTCTAAAAGAAAATTGTTAGGTAAAAGTACAAAACAATTCATATTCAATTTGGTGTTAACTAAAATGGTTTTAATGATATTTAGAGTAACATTCTTAAGTCACACAAATTTTATTACTTGGGTTGTGTTTACAAAATTTTGTTATTTTCACCCACTTTATATATACTCTTTATTGCATAGTAAAAAAAATTACATGGTTACTTTACATCCAGAATTGTTTCTTATAGAAATAAGCCCGCCTTTGTGAACAACAACAACTGAAAAACATTCAGTGAAGTCTTCTTTTTTTATAATATTCTGTGTTAATGTAAAACATAATTCCATATTTTGGTAAGGGCCTGTATTTAAATAAAGGGAAGTCCTTGGAAATATTGAATTGGCTGGAAACATAAGTTTTTCCAATTGCAATGAAATTGATTTTTATTCAAAGGAATATTGTTTATCATCTTCTAGTTTCTAACAGTTATATTTGGAACAAAAAAACCTTTTTTCCACCATCTGGGAACTTTCTTGTCAAATATTTTTTTATAAGTGAATCCCAAACACAAATCTAAATGAAACCCTTTCTGTCTATAAAAAACACAGTTCTGTGTTTGCTAATGCCTTTAATTTACATAATATGGCTAAGAAAGCTTTTTGCCTGACTACTTCCAGTCCATAATCATCAGAAGAAGAATGTTAAATTAGGATAGATATGTACTCGTGAAGGTAAAAATGGATATAAAAGCTCTAATACTGGAATTTTTTCACTATTCCCAACAGTTGTATTAAGCACATAAATAGTCTATCTTATATAACAGAACTACTGTTATAAAATTGGAACAATATCTAAGCTTGTAGTTACTTAACTGTTTGTTAAATCAAAAGCAACATATTGAATAATTTTTATATATAAAGAATAAGGTTATTCTACTACTAAGATCACGATGTAATAAATTTTTTTAGAACAATAATTGTCTTATATAATACATTTATGACAATAATTAACAACATAAATTTTTCTTTTTTAGGTAGCAGCACAGCATGTGTAATGATTCTAGACCGTAATGAAAGTATAATGCGGGCGGCCAACATTGGTGACAGTGGGTTTATGGTGGTGCGAGGAGGTAGAGTGGTGCATCGCTCTCATGAACAGCAGCATTACTTCAACACACCATACCAGCTAAGCTTACCACCACCCGGACATGACAGAAATGTGCTTAGTGATAGGTGAGATATTATAAATTATTTAACTCATATATTCTTCATAAGCTGAATATTGTCTATATAGGGAAATGATCATCTAAACTAGGAATATCTATCTATCTAAACTGTTAATAAATTGTTTCTGCTTCCATATTGAATCACTGAAAATCAAAATCAGTGAATATAAAGCTCAATTATCTCTTTAAAGGAGATTCATTTCTTTAGAAAACTTCTTGAGATACGTATATTGGGTCTAGAGGTTAAGACCCAAATTTCGGAGTTAGATTGTTATACAGACTAACCAATCTCCTAAGTGATTATGTCAAAGCTGATAGGGATATTCAACTAGTGTATTAAAACAATACACTACAACAATCATCTCTTTATCATTCACTACTTGAAATCCTGTTTTCATGATATTCGGCTAACTTTGGGATGAATAGTAATAGTATGACATATAAAACATGTGAACAATTTTTTATATGACAATCATTGAACAAAGAAGTATCATTTATTTGTACAAATTTAAAGATAAACATATTTTTTATTGATGTGATATCAAAACATTTATATGAAGTGTAATTGCAAATGGACAAATTGTTGGTTTATTTATATAAATAGAAGTAGTTATATATTTTTATTATGTTATAAATCAACATATATATGTCTGTACTCGTTCAAAACATAGAACAGAATCCCTATTTCTGGTTTGAAAACAATTTTATCAGTAAAATATGCTTTAGAAGCAAATCAAAAGGTTAATAAAATTAAGATAACTGATATGTATATCATTGAATGATTTCTAATTGCATTCACCGCTACGGATATGAGCATACAAAATACATAATTAACTATTTGTGAAACATAAGAAAACTAAAAAGTCTATATATGTTTCTTATATTATGAAAAAATTGATGTTACATAATTAGAAAAGACCCATTTATATACATAATACACACACATGAGTTGTTGACCCAGAAATATAGATATTTTGCTTATTTTTTAAATAATGCTTAGTTATCAAAGACCTATAGCATGATATTTTCTTATCTTTCAAACTCAAGTAAACATTTGTACATATACTGGCTTTCCGCGTGGAGTTCGGTTATATCGCATTTCCCAGAGAACTTTTCAAAAGTCTGGGATAAAAACTATCCTATGTTCTTTCTCAAGGTCAACTCTATATCTGTACCAAATTTCATTAAAATCAGTTCTGTGGTTTAGGCGTGAAAGCGTAACAGACAGACAGACAGAGTTACTTTCGCATTTATAATATTAGTAGGGATATAATATAACACAGCGTTGGGCTAGAAAATTGAGAAAACGTTGGCGGTAGATGACAAATAATAAGACTAACTGACAGACATTTTTATCACGGCTGCCCGAGATAACGGATGCTGTGAACTGTAAAGGAACCAAAACATTGGGATTGTATACATAAAATATTAAAAAACGCGTAATATCCAAAGAACTAAGTTTCATTGAAAAGTGTACACGCGAAACTTTTACACATCATGAGTATAACAAATTCTTTTTAAAAACATATACACTATATTTTTTATGACTAATTGTGTTATTTGACATAATTTACACTTTATTTCATATATTATGTATTTAAAAATAGGGTTTATTTGCAAGTAATCTTAATGATTTATTTATCTATATCTGTTTGTTCAGATTGTCATTGATGTGATATTTTATCATACAAAAATAATTTATATAATAATTTTAATTTATTTATATAGATAAGATTGTTTTGTTTTGAAAAATTCACAATACATTACTACTATACGGTCCATTTAAATTATTAGTACATATGTAGTACCTGCCAGTTATATAATATTAGCAATGAGTACTTTCTTGCATATATTTAAAAAGTCTATTTTATACATTTGTAATAGTAACTGATTAATAACTTACCAATGTGGGTTTTGTATTGTTGTTTTCAGTATGCTTAGTCTTAGTTGTCATTGTCATAATATTTTAGAAAGTTATTCGTTCATAAATCTTCATAAATAAGAGTATTTACGTGGTTTATTGAATGAAAAACGGGAAACCTTTCGTATGTAGTTACGATGCAAACTTGGACTATGAACACTTATTGCAAAGTTGTTTTATTGTTAGAAACCAATACATCTATATCTACACATAAATAAAATGATTCAACTCTGTGTATCAAATGATAATATATATTTTTTTATGTACTTGTTTGATAAATAATAAATATGTGTATATACATTTGATATATACATAATATATAGGAATACTATAATTTTCAAACAGTGTTTATTGCTTCAAAAATTTGAATCGGCTGGATGACGAAACTTTTTTGAATTATATCCGAGGAAGAAAAAAAATTAATGATTATTTATGGTATTAAAAAAAACGAGTCGATTGTTTCCAATTACTTTTTTTTTATTAAATATAAACGATCGTTTGACATTGCAGTGATGACGGTACTTTTCTGTTATTATGTTCTCAAATGTGTTTGTTTTGTTATGTCATGTATGTCCGATTGTTAACTGTCCCTGTCGACATTGGTCATGTGCTCATTCCGAAAACGTTGTATTTCTGCATACACTAATATTAGAATTTTTAGTTCACTGGATGCTTGCCAGATTTTGATAGTCACGTGCCGTCATTTGTAAAATGGAAATCTTGTTTATTATGTTTTGCAAAAAAAAAATACTGCTGCTATTATTGAAACAAATAATTATTTATAAATTGTCATAAAAAATGCCGTAAAGAGAATGTAAATAAGACATAAGTAATAGGAAAAGGGTAGGATTTCGATTAAACGTATAACAATAGTAATAAAATTATTGGCATAATCATTATGGCACAAAGCTATTGGCATATGTAATAATTCTTTCGAATTTATTTAGGCCATGTGATCAGTTCCCGTCTAAGGTACGGCGTCCATTTATAACAGTTGTAATGACATTTAACTATTAACACATACTGAATCGCAATTGTAGCGTAGCGTGGTTTAAAGTCCAACGTTATGGATCTAATTCTCAAATTGTATAATAATATACATGAGAGACATAATGTATTTGCGACTCGTTGGGAATACAAATTGAATTTCAATGCTATTATCATAAAAATTACTCAGATACACAAATTATTTTGAAATGTATTTAAATCAATGTCATAGCAAATAGATGGCATTAAGTATATCGTAGTGAAAAATTAAAAGGCAATGTTTTCGAATTTCTTCTAAATAGGAATATTGAGGTTTCTAGGACACAGTCGTAAAAGGATTATGATGATGATAAATTGGCTCTAAAAAGGTGTCAATAAAGCAGTACCGGATTGTAACATATTAATTCCTCACATGTCCGTATGTTAAGTACATGCATCAACAAACATGTGACAATATATAAATAGAGTTTCATAAACGACGATATATATTTATTCCAAGAGCTTAATTGTTTATATTCAAAATACTTATAATTCCATTCAAACGGTTTTGTTCAATAGTAAAGCCCAAAAAAAGCAGTCTTTTTTTATGAACAGTGTGCAGTATTTTTTGCGTAAATGATTCGTTATTTTAAGTCCTATGCGGCATTTATTTTTCACTAATTACTGTTACGTTAAACTCAAGTGAATTTTTGACTGAAGTTCATTTGACAATTCGAAGTTTTAATCGGCCGAATAGAGAATTTTGTGTCATATTCATCTCGGAAGATGTTTGTTATGAAATGTTAATTTAACACGAGATATACTTATACTCATAGATTGTAAATGTGAAATGCTGATAATAATTTGATTTAGTACAAAAAAATCATGTTTGTAACGATTTCATTACAATTTCAGGCCTGAATCAGCTGAGACCGCTGAATTTAAAGTCGAATGCGGCGATGTTATCCTCGTGGCTACAGACGGTGTGTTCGACAACGTGCCGGAGCCCGTACTAGTGGCGGAGATGAGGCGTGCGGGGGAGGGGGCCGCGGGGGACGGGGTCAAGCTACAGGGAGTCGCTAATTCCATAGCCTGGATGGCACGCAACTTGTCCTTCGACGGCTGCTATATGTCACCGTTCGCAAAGAGCGCGAGGCAGAATGGCATTGACGCTATAGGTGAGTTGACATTACGAGCCGCCATGTTGTTTTTTTTTTGTCCCGTCATGTTGTCAGAACTTTGCCTATTGCTTATCTTCGTAAGTACTGCATTATGAATGTTTCGTCTGTAGCGATGCTGCAACGCTATTACGCCGTTACTATAGATAAAAATAACCTTGCCTTTATTATGTTTACAAATTTAATATATTCAATGATAGAGCGTTTAAGTCCATCATTTAAATGTATACGTTTGGACTTTGCCATGAAGGTCAATTACGTAAACCATTTAAACAAATATTTTTTTATATTAATAAAATACAACTGACTGATGAAACGCAACTTTATCTCTAATTGTAAAGAGAACAGGTTTTATGTTGATTTTGAACATTACTTATACATTCCCATTCGACATAGTCGTAAGTATTACAGTCACAAATAACGTACTTTTTCTTTTTGGTTTTCTATTCATATAATACATAGTAATAATATTTTGTATTTCCAGGTGGCAAGCCAGACGACATAACGGTGCTACTAGCGATCGTAGCGCTATGAAGATGTCTTGTGATTTATTAGTTTTATTATAGACTCAGATTATTCAAATTACTCGCTTAACGATGAAACCAAAAATGTTAGTAATGGTACAATACGACTAATAACTATCTTATAATGATCTGAAATATGTGAATGCTGATCAACAAGCAAATACAACTAGACACTAGTCACACCGTGATACATTTCAGAATATGTACTTGTAACATAATTCTAACATTTCTAACGAATGTGGATGTTCCATTGTTTTTTTAATTTTGATCTTGTTATTGTTGTTGTGGTTTTTTTGATGATTAGTGAAAGGTGTGTGCGATTGTGAAACAGATTATGTCGAGGATTTTTTTTTAATTAATTTTTTTTTGGGAATTTTTACGATGACAACACTTAAACGTTCGATATTTGAAAATAAATCTGATTACATGTAATTATTTTGTGTGAATATTTTTTTCTATTTTAAAAGGTCACGAACCTAATCGCAAAGAAATTGAGAGGTTAAAAGTAGAATTACACGACTTTGCGTCTTAAAAACCCGAGGAAGTACCCATAACTATATCTACAGTTGGCAATGTTTAGCCAGAGGGGGAAAATTTGATAATTAATCTTTATGAAATCTTACAAATTCATTAGTAGATATTGTTGTTTTGGTGTTTGAATGAAGACTGATACTAGTTTTAGCTTGTTGATGTTTAAGATTTTACTGCACCGAGTCGCAAACAAATATTTTTTCTATTGCTTTTTTAAATCCATTTCAAGTATTATAGTATCATAGATGTGAATTTTCTTTACCAATATATATGGAGCTTCCTTTTCAATTAATACTGACTTTAGCTATCTGCTTATGGGAATAAAGGATTAATTATATAATTTGCTAAAGATTCTTACCGAGATTAGTCCGAAGGCATTTATACTGCCATTGTAAGTACAATAAACATCAAACACTTGTTAATATATTTACTTATATCATAACTGATTAGTAAATACACTACATATACTACTCATCGCATTTCATCTTATATAACTTTGTGTTCAATTAAGTTATATCTCATCAGGTATTTAATTTATTCAAGATTGTAACTTAGTATCATTTTTAATTGTATTTTTGAATTTCATTTTAACAATTTCCCTTCCCGGCTATACTGACACTGTAAAAATTATTGATATAGAGTTGAATCAAACAGAAACTACTTAGTGAATAGTAAGCCACTGCAACCTATTAAATCTGTGAATTAACTTATGAATTTACGTTAAACGACGACGTTTTACTTAAATTCATAACAACGAATTTAATTATGTATGTAGAGAAATTGCAAAATTAATAAATTGATTTCGAAATATCTTGTTTTATTAAAACCTCTATACTTGAAATGACAATTGATTATTAACCCAATTTTTTATCACTTTCACCTTGAGATAATTATTTTTTACCTTAATATCAATTATTATATGAAGTAACTAAAATTTAAATATGAACTTAAAATAACTATGACATATGGTCATAAATCGTTCAGTACCAAAGGATAACTAATAAAATAAAATCATCAATTAATGATATATTCCATGCATTGTTTGTTTTACAATCACGAAATAAAGTTTAATACATTAATATACAGATATCATTACAATATATAATAAATCACAAATGTCATTGTACAAATCAAATGTTTCTAATTGAACTGAATGAGATATTGATTAATTATTATACCCTATTAATAATACATAATATTCTCCACATATACCCTAAAATATTATAAACGAAATTAGAATTGATTTTAAAACAAACACATATATACATATTGGATCAAAAGTCAAATGTTTAATACATTTTATATCTGGGAAATTAAAAGAGGTTTTATATTTCGTTTTGTGCTGAATGAATTATTTTATTGGATGTACTTACGTAGCTTACAGCTAAACTAGTCACATATATATATTCCGACAACGATAGATTATAAATTAAATATTTTGGCTTGATACTTAATATGTTATGGGGATTTGCTGTTTATCTATTTTCATTATTATTTGGGTGCGGTTGTCGCCAGTCGAAGCCCCCTGGCCGCACATTGGCTAACTCATTTTCAACTTCTGGCAACGGTACATATTCTGGTTCTTCAGGTAGTGGATCAAACAACCTCTTCCTGTTAATAAGAAAAAAAATATATAATTAGAAGTATGTTTACAAGCTTAAAGGAAAATCATTAGTTAAGTAAATATTATGTAATACATATATGAAAATGAGAATAGGATACATTTTAAACAAGGGATAAGTATTATTTATAAATGGTATTTGCACTTACAATATTTTAGGTGTTTTTAAGATTTTCTGTCCTCCCCTTTGACGTGGCAGAACATCCTCTAGGAAGAAATAAATATGACCAATAGCCATACCAACTAGATCCACTGATATTGAATTTCCTAGTAAAACTGAGAATCCAAGAAGTACCCATGGCAAGTATGGCGCCTGTAATATTTGAAATATATTAACTTATTACTCCAATTTATTACTTAATTCAATAAATTTTCAGAGAAACTCTAAGTTTGTAAGTAACATTTGTACGAAAATTGATACAGAGTATACAAAATAAAACATATTGTAATAATGTTTTATTGTATCAACAAGTCAGCTTGATCTTATTAGAAAACATTGATACCTTCAACTATTCTTTTGGTAGAAAAACACAGAGTATTTTCTAGAAGAAGGATATAAGTTACTTTAAAAATACCTGAAAGTTCATTAGTCCAAAAAAGTTCATCCGTACATGTTTATTCCGTCGCGACCAAACATACACAATCATGATAGTAAAAGCTTGTCCTAGAAATAGTAAATTAACAAAGAAAGCACAAATCTGTATTAAAATGTAAGGTATTATTGGATTAATATCAAGTTACACAAAAATATAGTTTTATTTAAAAAGGATACTATCATCAAAATTCCACCAAACATAAACATAACAACAAAATCTGCTGTTCTACCACGAAACGATCCCTCCTCCAGCATTCTACAATATCTATATGTAAATATCATATTGAAGAAGAAATTGAAACCTAAGTTCCCAAAGAAAAGGAAGGTTGTTATCAATCTCCATAATTGATACTTTCTCAAAATAACTATTGGATTAAAATAAAGCTGGAATGGAGAAACCAGATCTAATTGCTGAAACAAAACATATATGAAGTAAAACTATTTATATATCTTGATATATTATATATAGAATAATATTCTTACCACTGCCAGTGTTGTTATTACACACGCTGTTGTGTATGCTCTTGTAACTGGAGGTACAAGCATATATTCTTGCAATAGTGTCTGGTAAGCCATGTTTGTAACAAAGATTCAAAAGTTCACAATAGCCTCATATTAATATAATGATTATGATTGACGATTTATACACCGGTAAACTTAACACGATTGGGCCACATCAGGATTTTTGCCAACTGCAAAGTAATACTATTGTTATCTGTGTACAATATCACCGACGACGTAGTATTTTTGAGCTAAGGTATGTATGTTCTTGTTGTATATAAAAAAGTTATCACGAATATATTTAGTCTAGTTACTAATATGTGTGGTGATTAAACTTAAAAGTGAAATACCTTGTATTATATTTATGAATAAAATTATACGACTTTAAAAATGACAATTCAGACCCTTTAAGTAAATTAATTCGAATATGATACATTAGATGGCGTTAGATAGTGAAAACGGTTATTTTTATTTCATTAGCTCCACATCATAAACCTTTTGTCAAAATTACAAATTAAAAGAAATGAGTAGTTTAAACATCAAATTTTATTATTGCATGTAACGCGATGTCTAATAAACAACGACTTAAATAAATATTTTTTCGAAATATTCTAAAACAATATCAATTCATTTATTTTTGTATATTTAGTGTACTTTTGTAATATAATTTGACACTAAAAACGTGCATGTTCGCTTTATAATTTAATAGAACAATTTTATTTTTTGACCTGTTAATAACTTACAGTATCTACAATAGGGAAAATTATTGTCATAACTCTCAGTAGTAGTATTTGACAATTGTTGAAATATCTAGTGTCAAGATATGACATTGATGATTGAAAGTAAATAATTATGACTTTGCTGTACTTATCAAAAATTAAAATATTTAGAGATTCATAACTAGTTTTACAAATACGTAACTAAATTTGCTATTGATACTTTAAAATTATCAAAATGGAGAACAAAGAATCTGTCGAACATTTGGTGGCCCTTAAAGTTATGAGACTTACGAAACCAGCTCTAATAAGTCCTAAGATAGTTACTTGTGACTTTAAGGATTTGCCTGGTAATATTTTAAACAATTATTTGAAAGATGATGCGACGTCGGTGGTTCAAATGGAGACACTAGCTGCTGGACAGTTTCTCTTATTGCCACAAAGTTTCGGTAATATATATCTGGGTGAAACATTTTCATGCTATGTATGTGTGCACAATGAGACAAATCAACCAGTACAAAGTGTATCTATCAAGGCTGATTTACAGACGAGTTCTCAGAGAATTCCATTAACTACTCAACAAAACCAGGCTCCTATCATGCTCGATGTTGATGAAACACTCAGTGACGTGATACATCATGAAGTTAAGGATTTGGGTACGCATATCCTTGTCTGCGAAGTTACGTATATGTCAAACTATAGTACACTCGCATCATTTAGAAAGTTCTTTAAGTTTGAAGTACTAAAACCTTTGGATGTCAAAACTAAATTCTATAATGCTGAATCAGATGATGTCTTTGTTGAAGCTCAAGTACAAAATATAACATCCGGGCCAATTATACTAGAGACGGTTGCATTGGAGAGCTCCCATCAATTCACAGTCAAATCATTGAATGAAGATGACAATGGTGTATCAGTTTTTGGTGATGTAACTTTATTGCAACCACAAGAAAGTTGTCAGTACTCATATTGTCTTACACCAAAAGAGAACATATTGAAAGACATCAAGTTGTTAGCAACAGCTAAAAATATTGGTAAACTGGATATAGTGTGGAGGTCTAATTTAGGTGAGAAAGGAAGACTGCAAACTAGTCAACTGCAGAGAATGATTCCAGATTATGGAGATATAAGAGTTACTTATGAAAATGTCCCAAGTAGAGTTCCTATCGATGAGCCTTTTAACTTCAAATGTAAAATTGTCAATGCCAGTGAGAGAACACTTGATTTGATTCTCAAACTCCGTTCATTGCAAAATTGTAGCCTTCTTTGGTGTGGTATTTCAAATAGAAAATTAGGGCCTTTAGAACCAGGAAATACCACAATTGTCAATCTTACCGTTCTACCAATAAATTCTGGCCTTCATACTGTTACTGGAGTGTCCTTAGTAGATTTATTCCTAAAAAGGACTTATGATTATGATGATTTAGCCTCTGTATATGTATGTTGATGATATATAAATTTAATTTAAAATATTTAAGATAAAGTATATAATAACCTATTTTAAATCTAGTTTAAATCGTTAATACAATGTATTAAAATATGATAAAAATAAATAAAGTTATGAACGAATGAGATTTTTTATTTATTTACACTGTTATTAATCAATACACAATATTTCTCTCAAATGTTGATGTTAATTTAGAAGCAATTTTATTGTTGGTTTTATCTAGAACTGCGTTTTTTTTGCATCCTTTTAGAGTTAAAATATGCCTTAAATTTTTATTTTGCTCCCAATTTTTATCCAATCTTCATATAAATGCGATTACTTCTTATGTAGGATGTTGTAAAAACGTACACATGTTTATATTATTTGCATATATTAAAAAATATATATATGTTTATTAAAAAAAATATAAATGTGATAAAATATTTGTATTGTAGTGTTTAATAGTTTTTTACCCACATAGATGGTCGACATTTGTCATTTAGCAACATTGTCTTTGATATGTCATCTGTCAGAACCGAGATTTTTCAGGAATTGAACTAAAAATATTGGACGACTTATTAATTTTATTAAATTAAACAATAAAGATGGTTCTTACAAAAGAATATAGAATATGTATGCCAATGACAGTGGAAGAGGTAATATTTAGCAATCTAATTTATTTGCGTAGTGGCTTTGTGTGTTTATATTTCTCATTAAAAAGTAAATTTTCCTTCCTATTTTAGTATCGCATCGGTCAGCTATATATGATTGCTCGTCACAGCTTTGAACAATCCAGCAATGGCGAAGGTGTTGAGGTGATAGCAAACGAACAAATTACAGATGATGTTAATGGTGTAGGGCAATTCACTGAAAAAAGGATACACTTGTCTAGGTAATATAATTTGAAGAACATTAGTTGGTTGCAATAACTTTATATTTGTGCTGCCAAAGACTTAAGTAACTTTTTTAACTGGAGCTTTATAGAAGTAAGAAATGACTAATTATAAACTGTAGTAAGTTGAATATAGATTGAAAATTTTTAGTTTAATTAAAAAACTTTGTGCTTTAATTTAATTATTATCAAATAATATGCATGGCATTGTTCTTATTAATCTTTTTCATATATTATATATCCAACCACTAGTTATAAAAATTGCTTATATGTACATGTAAGTTGATGTTATTTTTTTTTAATATATGATGTTTTCCAGCCATTTACCTTATTGGATCCAAAGTCTGATACCAAAAATATTTTATGTGACAGAAAAAGCATGGAATTATTATCCATATACAATAACAGGTATTTCTTTATTATAGCATTTTTGTGGTGATTGTTTTTAAATTAACTAATTTTATGTTTTAATTTCATGTACATAAACACAACTAGAATACACTGTAAGTAACATTTGTGCAATATTATTTGTGCTATGTTCAGTATTGTTTGTAAATTATGTTCAGTAGTAGCTAATAAAATTGAGTAATTTTATATTTCAGTGTTCTTTTATACCAAAGTTTTCTATATCTATACAAACAAGATATGAAGATAACAACGGGACCACTGAAAATGTAAGTGATGTTTTAAAATTAAAATAGAACTTCTATTGTTTTTAAGAATTTTACGTAATCATATAAATTAAATATAATGTTTCATCTCTAACTATTTTCTACTAAGAAGCAGTTATAACTATACTCTGTAGTTGTGTGTATGGATACAGAGTTTGTATATTTCCATATCATGTAATTTAATGATTCTTAATTTTTAATTCCCATAATGGCATATAAGTGTCTTTTAGTATTGCATGCATATACATTATGAATTATAAAAATATAGAAGCTTATACTAGTAAAATTCCCATATCTTTCATTTCGAAAATTTAAGACATTTTTGATGAAACTAATTTTTTTTTCCCAACATACAAATTTTTATGTCCTGTATGTATGTATTCAGCAAATTGTAATACTATCAAGATATTTTTTTATCTTTTTTATTTTCATAATTTCCAGTGTTTAGGTCTGACGCCAGAAGAGCTTGAATTGAGAGAAGTTGATTTCATTGATATAGCCTTTGATGAAGTTAAACCACATCATTATAAAGAATCCGAGGATCCAAAACTGTTCAAATCTGAGAAATCCGGTCGAGGGCCACTCGTTGAAGGCTGGAGGGACAATGACAAGCCTGTTATGTGTTGCTACAAAGTAGTCCATGCCAAGTTTGAAGTGTGGGGTCTTCAGACGAAAGTTGAAGAATATGTACAAGGGGTATGTTCTTAGTTCATTAACTGATAAACTAATAAAATACAGTATATTTTTTTTAACTAATAATATTTTGTTAACGACGGAAAGAAAATGAGCAATACTACTATATCTTATGTTCTATGAAATTAATTTTAAATTAGTGAAATTGTGAAGTGTGAAAAAAAACATTAGTTACTTTATTATATAAGTTGGAGTTAGTATAACCGTCACGGTTTTTAAAAGAGTGACGTCAGCTTAATTGACGTCACGAATGCTCTTGATTGTCGTTTACTGTCTTTCTATTAGGCTGTTGACCTGATAGAGGGTTTGACGAAACCCTTACTTAGCCACGAAGAAGTCCGATCACTACAATGGCTTGAGCGACACTGTTATTAAACTTAACTGTTGCCTCTATTTATACCAACCGACACTCATTGTTGTAGCTGCACTCGCACTGATGGCTACGTAGGTTATGTGTGTAACACTTGATAATTTTAACTACCTTTGATATATTATACAAACAAAAGGAATTGCGCCGATGTATATGTAATTATATTTACACTGAAATCTATTGTATTTTTCCAGGCTATAAGAGATATTTTACTTCTTGGACATATTCAAGCGTTTGCTTGGATGGATGAATGGTTCAACATGACAATAGAAGATGTGAGGAGGTATGAGAAGGAAATGCAAGATAAAACTAATATGAAGGTAAGGTTTACTAATATTTATTTATTTACTCAATGCTATGGCGACTTATACAACTATCTGACAAGTGGAGTTCGGTTATATCGAGTTTCCAAGAGAACCTTTCAAGAGTCTGGAATAAAAACTATCCTATGTTCTTTCTCAAGGTCAACTATATCTCTGTATGCAATTTCATTAAAATCAGTTCAATGGTTTAGGCGTGAAAGCGTAACAGACAGACAGACAGAGTTACTTTCACATTTATAATATTAGTAGGGATACAAGTGAAAGATACAATTAGATAGATAGTCTACTTTATTTGAATTTTATATTAGAAGAAACATAAATCAACTGAAAATCACCATTTTTAAAATACAATGAAATTTAATTTTAGATTAAAATTGCATTGGAGGAAAACGAAGAAGAACAGAAAGGTGATAGCAGGAAGTCATCTCAACCGGCTACACCAAAAAGTCCTAAGACTCCAAGTGCTAGCACACCATCAGCTGAATCTAAATCATGGTTCTCTTGGTCATAAATTATATAAAATATTAAAATGAACATAAGATATTAGTTAAATAATTATTTTTGTATCTGTGGATTTGATAAAGCTAATACCACAGATTACTAAATAGGCATCAATATAGTTTATTCTTTTATTAGTCTGTGGTTCTACTAATCTGTTTATTAGGCACATATTTCTGCTGCTTTTCCGTTATTTCATTCATGTGGTGAATATTTAAGTTGTTAACACATTTAAATATTTTGTTTAGCATAGATGGTGTTATTTAAAATTTAATTAAGGGTACTAATCATTAGAAGATATTTTTTCTGTGAAGTTGTCAGAATAGGTCAAAACTATTTTGGGATGGAGTAGCGCTTAGTTAAAAAAAAACTCAATATTATTCCGTTCATATTAATTGATGATTCCTCAAATATAATAACTAGATTTACTTGATACTCGTTTTCAGATTTCTTAGTTATATAACTGTAATCTGTAGTAACTTGTTGTTTTCCCTCAAATTTATTTAAACGTAAATTTATACGTTTTACAATATCAAGCCCATTAAAATTTAATCTTGATATGAATATAAGAAAATTTATGAATGCTATGAAGGATTTGAATCTTAGCTCTGTTATCGGACAATCGGATTATTAATGTTTATTTAGTATTTCTTATCTAAAATGATGAGGTTGTTGATCAGTGCTTTGCAGAAAATGTTAATAACTACTGCCTTGTTGATCAGCGCTTTGAAGAAAATGTTGCAAACTACTGCCCTTGTTGAAATGTTTTTGGATGAATAAATAAACCTTTGTGATATTAAATATGTACAAAAAAAGCAGTTACCATATGTACTTAAACAATTTTGAACTAAAGGAATTATGATTTAGTGAAACGGGGTTATCTCATAGTTAATATATTACATTTACTAGTAGATATTCTCACTATTTATAATCATCTTCATATATCTGTGGAACAAATTACATGTATGTTAGCAAATCATTGTGTAGTTTAAATATGTAAGTATGTAGATATCCTATTACTGATCCGATATTCAAATATCATAGGAATAATTAATCAATGTGATTTCAAGGTGAATGAATATGTTTAATATTAAGGAGTTAAGATGTTTATCTTTCCAGTTTTCTAGTTATGTGTTGAAATATATATTTTGGCGATCCTTTATATAGCCTCATACTTTTTAATAGAAAGTAATAAATAGAAATTAAATTGCTGCAGAAGTATTAGATGCTTTTTTTATATAACAGAATTATTACAAAATTGTATAGTTGGCATTATATTTTCTCTAAACAAGGTGTACAACATTTTTTCTTATGTCAAATTTATATGAAAAATTGCAGGTATTTTAAATTTCTATTCGGGAGATTATAGTTGTGTTTCATATTTACATGCATTTTCCTTTGTTTTTTTTTGTTTTGAGAAATAATGAAAGATTAGACACATTCCTTGCAGTATGAATGTGTTATGACTTATGATTGTTTTTATTGTCTTCTATCCGAATTTTTATGTATGTGTAGGAACAAATGTTCATAAATGTTGTTCATTATAAGTATAGTGCAATATTGTGGAGAAAACTGGGTTCATATTATGGGTAGTGCGATCATACTCAATGGAAATTTGTTGAACCAAATGTTTATTGTATACGTTTAGATACATATTATATATCACTGATGTTGTGTTAGTTCTATAAATAGACAATTATTTATATGGTTTATTTGAAATAAGAGTCATTCATTTTATTTCTTGAATGTTAATTGAATAATGAAAAATTAGAAAGATAATTTATATGACATTAATATTTAAAAATCTAAATAAATTTAAATTCTAAAGTCAAAATTCTAAAGTCATGTTGTAAAACTAAACAGTGTGTATGTGCTAATCACAAATATATCAGTAAAATTAGTTTCTGACGTTGACGTCTAACAGACGCCTCTCATAATATGAGTCCAGTTTAATTAAAAGATTATAAATAAATTATAGTTCAAATATATTGTTTTATTTTCCTAAATATCCTAGTATCCAGGTCAAATGAGCTCCAATACTAGTGTAAACTCCCGGTAATCCATTCTTCGAGCAGGTAAGACCGTAACTAGATAAGCCTTGAAGCTTTCCAGCACAAATTAGCGGACCTCCCGAATCGCCCTGTAATGAAAATAATTGTACGTTGAGTCTTGCGATCTAATATATTACTCAGTTTAGTCAATGTTCAATAAAAGAAAGGTTCTTATCGAGTGTTAAAAGGAAGATTTTTATTTTATTTATTTGATTCTATAGTTAAAAATCGTTGGTAACCATATAATGAGATTAAGACCTTCGCGAGTATTCATTTAAATAAAACTAATATTTTCGGATTACTACATCTTATTTAATTATTAAAAAAAAACTACATACTTACTCCTGTGTTTCAGTTACTTTTGCAGCAACGGTAATCACTTGCAAACGAGATGTGAAAATAATCATGTAACGTGTTAGAATCCGAAAATATTACTTTCATTTAATCAGTTTCCATAATTTCCCGATCGACCTTGGGGTGTTAAAAATTGTGCATGTATAAGAGTCGTACCTGACAGGCGTCGGCCCCATTTCCTGAAGCACAAAGCATCCCACTATTTGGTTCAGGGGCGACATATTTTCCTAATAACTCCGTACACTTGTCGAGTGACATCAGATTTAGGGCTGCAGCTCTCAACTTTTGTGAAGCCACTTCATTTTCATCGTAGTAGCCATAGCCGTAGAATACGCAGTCTCCTATAAAAGACAATATTTTAAAATTACAGAGTACCTAAGCTTTTATTCATGAAGTAATAAAAACAATAATCAAATTAAATAAATTAAAGATTTTTTCGTTGCTGGTTAACTTGTGCCTTTTTTATTTGAAGTGCAAATAGACGAAGTTTCGTCTTTGATTAAATTTATAAGCAGATGCTCTTTTGTAAAAAGTGTCATAGAATATATATAGAATTAACAGATCACAGATCTTACATACAACCATTAATTAATTCTTCACTCTATTAAACTACGATGTGCGCAATTAAAATTATTAATACAAAACAGTCGCGTCGATGGAGTACGTGCCTATCTACACTTCAAAGGCCGGCTCATTAAGATAGACGATAGATATTATATTTTAAATTATCTTAGTTCGGTCGGATTTCTAAAATAATTATTATGTCAACATATATGTATATTTACAAGATAAACAAGAGAAGATTGTTTTATTCGATGGATTTTCTACAAACACATGGTTTTATCCAAATTACACGGACCTATTGTAGATAATATAAGCACAAGACACTTGTAGACTATAGTTATTGAAGAGTTTTACTGATTAATTATCTTTAAAAAATAAAATTCTTATCTTGATTAAGTCATACCTATAAAAAAATCAAATGCTATGTTTTGTATAGGTATAACTTTGATGTTATAAGTTCAATGCTAAATAAATTGAATCAAATCTTTCGAATTATTTCTACTTAAAGTGTGTTAAGAAAAACTGTGATGAAAACGAACGCTACAATATTAAAAAGCATAACGAGACCTCAGATTTTCGCGAGTACCTATTCATTTATTCGATATATTAATTAGTTTCATTTATAAAAAAGCATCTTTATCCTATGTATTGTCTCTTTATATAGATAACTATGGAACAAACATAACGAAAATATAAAGAGCCCATAATTTTAATGAAAAACGAGATCAAAATCCTTTTATCTTTAACCTTCACTTTTAAAATTTCTCAATAATTCCCTTATCTTATGTGTCATTCAGTATCTCCCCTCTAATAGACTTTATAAAGGGAAGTCTAGACTAGGCGCTTATCTTGAACCTTTGATCTCATTGTGTCTATTCAAAGTCAAGGTGAGAGTTCCAAATACCTTTATTTATATAGGTTTAAAATCAGCTAAAATTGTAAAATGATAATTCGGGATTTTGTTCTTATTAAGAATTGGCAGCGTAGGATTTAGTTTGGTCCATAACAAAACTATTTAAGAAAAGACTTTCACTAGACTCTATCAATGCCCAAACTACATATCCAACCTGCCACGAATGTGAATTATGATTAGTGAAAAATAAGAAATATGACATAGAAATCTACCATTCATAACCACAACCTTTCGATTTGATCAAACAACACCAGATACATTTAAGAGACTATGAGAATTCTAGCTCATATGATAACATATGAAGAAAAATAAAAAAACAAATGTAAGATAGTAATAATAATAAATAATAAGTAAATACTGCAAGACTTTTTGAATATCTCATGACTCATGAGAGATGAGCAATCTTATGTTATCTAATCTCCAAATTCTTCTTCAACGAACATTACTGAGTCTAATATGATAAGTATCTAATTGACTAGTAGGTACTGGTGTTATAGATTTCCAATAGAGTTTTAGCCAGAGTTTTGTTCATACTATTAAGCAATCTTGGAAAATGGTAATATTTTCTTAATCCAATGCTTCATGCTTCATTACACTATCAGACAGCGTAGTTCAAAATAGATAGTTGTTAACCTAGATAAGGAATGTCATCTCCTCTGACCTTGATTCAATAGATTGATATTTTTTGGAGAATTTGGTGATTTGTCGTCGGAACAATAACAAATTGCGATGAGATGGTTTGATAATTTCTTAATAGAGTTTTTTCACAAATGTTTTCTATATCTAATATACTACTATAAAATATCTAAATATATACGTATAATAATGTTACCTTGATATAAACTCGAATTTAAATTCTACAAAAGGACTAAGTACATATGTAAATATTTCTAATACTAACAGAAGGGATGTATTTATAAAACATGTATGTACATAGAATACGTAAAATACTAAGTGACAACAGTTTATAGAAGGTAGTGGTACATATCTTGCTGGCAACGTCTCTTGAGAGTGAATTCAGACGTTTACTACCGCAGAACCTCTACCCGAGTTATTGACGTAAGTTTACAAAAGAAACTAAATTGGAGAAGGCGAAAGTGTTTACCTTTTAAATGATTTTATAAAAAAAATAAACTTAATTTTCTTTTTATTGTAACGTTTACGTATTTTATTACTACTAAATTTTTTTTTTGTTATTTTAAACGTACTTAAAATTCTAGATCATTCTCAAATGCGAAAATGTTCCATAGTTTTGTTTGTAACATTCTTAAACAATAGCCCTTGATATTCCAATAAGTATGCTAATATTACAAAGCTCTTAAGACTGAAGTATTACTCACCGCGATGAAATTTCAACTTATCAGATACCTTCTATATTACGTTGTAAAATATGTACATCGATTTAAATATATTAAAATTCTGTCACAAGCACAAATGTAATTATTATTAAAAAAATACATGGACTGTAACTTGTAATAATATAATAAATTTATTGTTATAAATATGAACAAAGATGAACAATAAATTAAAGAAATGTGTATAAGGTTAACAGAAACATGTAGTTGTTTTGTATGCTGTATAATTATACGAAGTAGTTGTTAGAACAATTTTCTTTTTTTCATGTTGGCACTTCTGAGACATTTAAAAGATATTAAAACGTGTCATTTCTGTATTCAAAATTTTAAAAATGTTATATAAATTTATTAATAATAATTAAACAAAAAAATGCTTTAAGAGAAAAACTGAAATATATCCTTGAATGACACTTTCGTGAACAGATTAGAAAGTAAGTAATAAAAAGGCGCTCATCCAAACGAGTGTGAAAAACATAAAAAATAAAATAAAAGTGTTACTTTTATTACAGTTAAATGAAGTTCTACCTTAGATTAAAATTTTATTTAATGAATAGGATAAAGAAATCAGTTGTTGTATATAGTAAGAATCATATGTTAATATAAATTTGATATTACATATATACTATATAGTCCCGTAGACCGTAGTACAGTTTATATGTTCATCTATTTTAGGAACTTCAAATAAATATACTGAAATTAATCATACGTTCAAGATGAAGGAGACGCAAACAGGTGGTAAGGTGAGGATGTTGGTGTGTAATTCAAAAGCTAATTGTTGTACAAATATATTTTACTTCAACCACTTATTAAGGGATGTTAATATTTATTTCGCTTTTAAATTGTTACTAACTAATAGATTATATGTATTTTGTTTCTACCGAATCCATGTCTTTCGATAACAGAACAGGCTTTACTATTTAAGTTTTAACTGTAAGTTATGGTAATTGTAAAACTTGTACTGTCTGTGACATATTGAAATTATTTTTAGTATTAGGTTTGATCGTTTATGATTATTTTATCATGAAATTGATAGAGTTACTATAAGTAGTGACTGGCAGTCAACGACGAGTATAAAAATCAGGTCAGATACCCAATTAGAAAAACATATATTATCCCATCGTAAACGTGACAGATTTGTATCAGCGCGTGTTTATTTTGATTGAATAATTTTGGCAGGTATACAAAATGCGTGCAATCTTAGTTCTGAAATAGAACGAAGTGACGATCTTGAAGGTAAGTAGGCTCATTAGCATCAGAGTTCATTCACAGTTACCTGATATTCCGAATGAGGAGTAAGGTAGCACACTAAGCCACGTTACATCATCTAAATACAGCTGTAACCTTAATAACGCGATGTCGTGTTCCTTAGAGGATCTGAAACCGTACAATTGCCTAGTAACACGACTGCAAGGGTGAGTTGTTTTTCATATTATCTCGACAAACAGGTCTGTTATTGGAAGGGCATGACGTATTTTATAAGAATTATTATACAAATGAATACCATATGTAGGATTTAATAAAGATAGATTATCGAGCGTATCATAACTTACCATATTACCATAAAGTAATGCTTATGTTAATAAAAATAACTTTATATTTCTCTGAATGCTTAATAATAAAATAATTTAAACTTACTCATTATATAACGGATGTATTATAATATCCAAAACTCGAGATCGAGGTGTATCCTCTGCGTCGTCAACGCAATAGTTATTAAGTTGTATAATGTAATTATTTGATGCATACATCACACAATGCGCTGCGGTTACAGCGAGTTTTCTTGTTAGGACGACGGCTCCACAGAGATGCTTAGAAGTCGTAGCATTACGTAGAGCCGCTATTTGATCTTGGCTGCCTTTGAATTCGTAAATTCACACCATATTTTGAATAAAACGGAGAAAATTTTAGAAAAATTGCTTTAAAGTTTTTAGTAGAAACATTATTTATACCACAAGGCACTTCAATTCCACCGACAACTCTCTTCACTCGTCTGCTGCTGATAAAATACAAATTACTTAATAATATAGCAATTATTACAAAACCTATTTTGTTAATCATTTTCAGTTTAATTATTATCAGTAATGTCTTCAACTCTAATAAAAGGAATGGTAAACGTATTAAAATAATTTTTCATGTGTTCTTGAAAATCGTGACTGAATAATGAATTACTATTGTTTAAACAGTTGTTAATGTTGGCTGATATGAGCTATTTTGCGACTTTTACTATCACATGTAAGATATAACACATTCTTTTAATGTATTCCTGAAACTATAATTTTTCATTATTTGCGTTTTGCTCTAAAAATTTTTGATATTACTGTATGATAAAGCGGTTGTTACGTAGGGATTAAAATTCTTTGAGAATGAGCAGTAATCAAGGAATAAAGATTGTCAGCTATACCATTTATAAACAAGACAAGACATTCATGACTACTTAAGTGGATTTTCAGAGCCAGCCGGTTTTTCAATATCCCCGTCCAACCAAACTAAACGCGAGCTTCAATATATTGAAAACAGCAACGCCTTATGTGTAGCATCTGGACAATAAGGTTTGAAAAAACTATCAAAATTTAATAATATACATTTTATATACTAAATAATTGTTTTAAATATACAAATATATCTAATATCTATACTTTAAAACAATCTCGTCTTTCCATATTTATCAGTTAAATGGCAAACATTTACACATTTATTATACCTAACGAAATTTTCAGCTAAATGGTATAAAATAAGTATTTCGATATTGCAAGAGCTACAATATGCTAAACAAGACAATGCATTTAGAAACAAATGGATGGCCCTGAACAAAAAGGACTTCGAAGAGGGTCATTGTACTATTTGAAATATTGAATTTCTTACACAGAAAACTGTTTTACAATTTACATTTATATATTAAAAGATCGTACAAGAACAATGTAATCAAATGGAATGATAAGACATAAAAAAATATAATTTGTATTTCTGATATTTAGCTCAATATTATTAAGAAATATGTATAATTCAGTAATAAAAATTGCAAGTAGGCATTTAATTTTGAAAGTAAATAGTGTATTTTGAAAACTCATTGAGACGCAGCACAAATACTTTATTTGGTTCTGTTAGTTAGTTTCTAATGAATATTCAGATACAGATTCCCTAAATAACAAGTTAAATAATAAATTAAAAATAAATTAAAATGGTTCTCAATAGAAAGTTTTAGAATTTTTTAATTCCTTTCGAGTAATCTTATTTAAATTAGTTCCTTTAGATGAGTTATTTAATCCTGATTCAGCTAATATAATATTTCTCCTTTTTTATTACAAATATAGTATTTTATTTTGCAATTTAATGAAATTAACATAAACTTTCCATATATTAGAATAGCGCAAATGTTCAATATATTGTATTATAACTGATAGTGACATACGGTATAACTTGTTGTTTCCTTTCAATTTAATTTAAAATAACTTTCACATACAATAAATTATATTATAATCGTATCCATACTTTATTTTAAAGAATATAGTCCTAATGAGATCTAAGATTTTCGTGAGTACTCATTTAAATGAAACTAATATTTTTCGGATTTTAAGCGTGATCACGGTTGCTGAAAAGTAGCCGAAACGTCGGGAGTATGTAGTTTTCTAATCAAAAATAAAACGCTAAGTAAAATCCGAAAAATATTAGTGTCATTTGAATATAGTCCTTTTAATTATTCCATTGTTTCATATCGAAAACGTTAAGTGATTACGATTAAGTACTATGTAAAGTGTTTATTATTACGGAGAATTTTTTCTCTGCATTAATAAATATTTAGAAATTGTTTCCGTTAGAAATTTATAAAATTTTATTAAGCTACAAATTTCAAAAGATAAAATTAGAGACTTTAATTATTGTAAGGACTCTATATTGTATCATTTACATTGTGTAATTTCAAGAAGTAGATTTATGTATAGAGATGTGTATAATTTCTCGTAATTATGTTTCCAATAATCACCATAATAAATGATGCAGTCATAGATTCAGTGCCAAGATTGTGATGTATTAGTAATTATTAGTTGCACGTAGGCGCTAATGATAAAACGTATGAAATTAGTTTTTGTCGTGTCGATGAGAGCGCCAGAAACAATCACGTCTAAAATTATTGAGTGTTTTTGTTGTTGCATGCGGTGCCAACGGACAACAGACGATTGTAAAGCGTACAGGTAGGAGGCGACCGTACGCTAGCGACGGGTTTATGTAATAGGAGGGCGGTTCGCGGTAGCAGGCGGCAGTGTTCCGTCGACCGTCGGGGCAAAGCCCGCCATGGAGCGCCCGAGCGGCAACCCATCCTCCCCGCCGCACTCTTCCGCCTACTCCGGCTTTGGCGCCTTCTGCAGCGCTATCTCCGAGACCCTGTCGGTACGTACCGGCACAGCACGCCTGAACCGGTCGGATGCCCTCTAGCATCTGATGTTACAACCATGACATTACACCAGCCAGAATCGAATTTTGGCGCGGTTTCACTCTTTAATTTCTATAGCCCATCAAACACGTAACGCACGCCAATTTACCTAATTGATGTGTCGTGTTGTAAATTGTAATCTATTCTGAGGCGCACGTGCTCGGTATGTCGTCCGGCCACAAGCCATGTTCGCAACGTCTTCGGCCAGGATGGCACGGAATAGGAAAAGTTATCACGGGAATATATATAAAAAAAAATATAAACAAGTTTATTAATAGAGCGCTCATTCGTGCTGGGTCGCACGGCCGTGATTTGTCCGACGGCTCTGATATACAGAAATACCCGTGCAATAAACGAACAACGAACGGGAGACTTACAAAGACCGGGCGACATCAAGCACTCGCGCCATCTCAACAAGTCGTACAACACGGTCATCTCCCGCGCGCATCTTACGACACCGGCTACCGACTACCAGCTACCAGCTAAAGTAGGTACACCAAAATAAACCTTACGACCTGTGTGATAACGATACCGATGTTTACGCGGACTAAGGATATGTTTTAATTTTAATACAACTTGAGTGACAATGAACGAGTGCATGAATGTACATGTCTTCGCTTGTGTCGTGGAATGTTTGTTTTTATTAAAAAAAATTGTAACGTCGCCCACGTGTTTCCAATTAGCATAAATTCGCGTAAATATAAACGTGAAACTGACCAATACATATATATAAGTTTACTGTTACATTCAAAAGACTTTTTTATATATAATGAATTTTTTTTACTTGTTTGTTGAACAAATGTATCATTTAATTCTTATGACGTTACCGTGAGAAAAATCAAACTAAACATGAGGTCATGTATTTGTCACGTCTTGTTAATTTGTGAGGCAGCAATTGCAAATAGTCCTCAATGAACACTTTAAATATTGTACTTGTTAGTAATATATTTAACATATACAAAATAACTGTAAATAAAATTATTATTATTATTTCAATTTATGTATATATTTTTTTCGCCGACTTTAAGTAAACCGGTGTTGATACAAGCGTGTATAGATTTTTTAAAAGGTATAAATTATAGCTAATAGCTTCTCTAATATTAATTGAATATCAATATGCAATTAACGGCGAAGGGAAGCTTTCATGAATACGCCGACTAATTCTTTAAAAAAAACTTTATTATACATTCAAATAAAGTTGATTATTGTTTAATATATATAATTTGCAAACAATAATTTCAATGTATCGTGTGTAAGTCTATAGGGCGGCCATTAGTCGCCAGTTGGGTCACACCAATATCAACTTCACGAGTACAAGGCAAGGTTTCGTGCTGAACTTCAATGAATCGATAGCAAACGTTCGAACTCGCCTTTTTTACCACAACAACATTAAAATTCGATTGTGACTTGCATTCTAACTTTTTGCATTACACCTTTAATTTGTCATGTTTTCAATATTTTAATTGAAAATGTATATGATTTTAAATAATATTATTCATTTATTTACTTTATAAGTTAAATAATTAATAATTATATTTGGTAGCGGTTTTGTTAAGAAAAAACATAAAAAAACAATACTTCTTATATCAGTCTCAAATAACACTTGGAGTTATTTAAACTATTTCTTATTATTGTACATTAAATATAGAACTTTTTCTTGCCTAAGCCAAAGTTTTCGTTAAAAATCATTAGTATTGAGTAGATGAAATTATAAATGAAGATCTTAAATTTTCCAAGATCAATTTAACAATAAAAGAAATTTGTTTAGTAATATCTAGAAAATATTATGATCGAAACTAAAAAATATATAAAACGGTGCATATGCAAAGCTTGAGCACATTCCAAAAAATTTCACACAAACATAATATATAAATTATAATAATTGTATGTGAGTATAAGTCGCGGTACGTTAAATAGAAGTACAATCATGAAAGAAGCGGTCACACATCATTCAAATATGCTTAGTATGAATTTGATTCGTCACACTACATACCGAGCGTTTCGCGTTTCTCAATTGAAAACGGTCATTAATACTATGTGTGATTGAAAAACTCTTAACGCTTCGTAAGTAGTCTGGCGAGAAAAACTTAGACTAAGCATAAATATAAGTAATTATAAATAAGGTAGACAACTACATGATTGTTACTTTTGATCGTAACCTGCTCTCATGAGCAGGTTTAAAACATTTGTTTTTAATATGAGATGCTGTTTAATTTTCGTTCATATTATTAAAAGTATACGAGGAATTATACGATGTGTGAGTATTGTTACTTCGTTATTTATTTTAATAACTTCTAAATTAGGTTTGTTACTTATATTATTATAAATATGGGCTCCTATTAATGAATTAGCTGAAGTATTACATTGTTTAGGATTACAGTTATGTCAAATGTATGTTTACTATTAAATGTAAAACCGTAAGAACAACACGGGACATTTGTCTCATAGCCTTCATCTGTTCAAGGCTCCGGCAGTAATCCTATGATTTAGTTAGGTTATCCCTAATGCTTCAAACGAAATTTAAAATACTCCGTACTATTTTTTCTGGCAGGACGCCAAACTGAAGAATTTAAAGAGACAGTTGGTATGCTCGGTAGATCTGCACCGTTTGGGTTCACCTTACACAGTTACGATACCCAATATTATGATCTTATGTCACATTCGTTGTAAAAGCTCCTCATAGGTCATTAAACTCTGGCAATGATTACAATTATTATCTTTAGAATGGATTCTTCATTACGTAACTACAGATTAGGGTAATTGTTTTTAAATTCTTCTAACAAAGTCCTCAGTTTCAATTTAATTATAGTATATATTTAAATATTATTTAAACCAAACTCAGGATTATCTTTTGTTTTCACTGTAATGTACTCGTCATTTGTAAATCTAATTAATTACTTTTTTACCGTCTTAAACACCTTTGAATTCGTATCAAAAATGTATATTGTATTAAAGTTCGTTTTATAGTTTTATTTTCAAAGCTGATGTTATTTCCATGAATAAATTTTTACTAGTAAAGCGGAAATCTGTAAACAATACAATAATAACTCTAAAATACACAATATACGTAGCACACAATGTTACAACATGAATTTTGAAATAAAATTGAAGTGTTACGTTCAAGTGACATGTCGTTTTGAATTGTTGAATTAAGGTCGCAATTTTATAAAGATTTATATGGATATATAATTATAAATAAACGATGATGTCATATTTTATACTTGCTTCAAATATAAGAAAAATACGTCCATTAACCACTTTACGGTGGTACGTAGGATCTCGGCGACTGTTTGGTTGGAAAACTCATTTCTAAATTTGTGGAAGAGTAGGGAAAGCTAGTACTCCTATAAACAAAAACGAAACGTGTGTCATTGACACGGTTATTCGTATAATTTAGGGTTTTCTAAATTAGAACAAGGCTATGACCATTTCTAATAAATCATGTTACATAGTCGGAAAACATTTTAATTCAATCATGGTCAAGATTTAATTGGATAAAGCTTTTAACACGATTTCCATTAAAAAGAATCTTAATGCTATATAAGAATGGAAAATATAATTGCAGAATTTTCCTTGAAATGAAACATAGTAATATTTTTAAATATATATGTATATTAATTGTAAAATATATATTTCAGGGCATGGCAACCACTTCGAGAAGTAGAAGAAAGGTAAGGAACCAAAACTTATTATATTAATGCGACAAAGCATAACCAAGTAAGATGTATGATTGAATGCTTGTCACTATTTTATATCTGAGTAATATGATAGATCTTATCTGAATAATGTCTAAATCAACGGTCTAAGAGAACGAAGTAGTTCGTATTAATTTTATTACACTAAGAATTGTTTACATATTTCATGAAAGTGACAATGTATGGAATCTTTCGGGACAGGCATACCAACACGACGTATGATAGAATGTTTGCAACTATGTGACTGTTTGAAACACTGTGACCTTTCATTATGGTCAGTTTGTTCAATAAAATTGTTTAAATCACAGCGTTTCTGAATAGTTGAAGTTTACATGACGTAAGTGTTTAAAACGTTACAGTTTACTGAAAATAATCAGTTAAAATACTAATAATCTTCTATATATATAAAAATGGATTGCTGTTCCTTAGTCTCGCTAAAACTCGAGAACAGCTGAACGGATTTATCTTATCTAAGTCTTGAAATGTTCATGGAGGTTCAGGGAAGGTATAAAAGGTGAGAAAAATTGGAATAATTGCCGGGAAAACCCTAAAAACAGCCCTTTTCTATTTCCCATACAAACGCTTTTTTTGACATTAGATTTGACAACTAACTAATATGTCAATCATTCTGTTTGATTGAAACAGGAAAAACCTGATTATTTATGGCCTCTAAGACGGAACAGAGTTGGCCCGGTCAGCTATACCTACATACATTACTCTTGACCAAACTAACGCGGACGAAGTCGCGGGCAAAAACTAGTGTAAAATAATAATAATCTCATTTATTTGTTGTTTAAACTATCAGTGGTATATTTTGATAGCATTGATTTAAAACCGCTGACACCCACGTCTTAGTAAATATACTGAACGTTGATTGATTTAATGAAGTCTTTAAACGTTATTCTGTAATGGTTCTCTTTGTACTCAAAGCTGGTCACGGTTTGTTTAACAAGCAGATAGTTAAGATATTTTTTTTTATTTTACATACACTTTAACGGATACGCCACAATTGAAGTTTTGCCAAACGCGACATTGGCTATTTTAATGCATAACTTCAGTTGCTGTCTATAATACTTATACTTGCATTTTGCTGTGGCCGTGTCCTCTGGTGCACGTATGTATTTTGTCCTTCAAACATTCTTGGCAAACAACGCGATGACATTCAACTTGTCGCTGTAATGTTGTTGTAAATTGTCAATTACATTATAATATTTATGCATATGAAATGTCGCCATTTAATTGATAATTAACATTTATCAGAGTTATAATAGACATTAAATATTAGCGGCCATTTTAAATGTAAAGACACAAATTGTAGTGTAAGAGCTTTCAGTTGGCGATCAATGAACATGGCATAAATTAAAAACGGTGGCTCTCTGTGTAATGGTTAGATAAGAATAATTTTTTACCGAACACAGTAGAGGCGATTCATTTGTGAATGTGATGGAAGCTTTTAGTCATACATTTGATAATGAAACTACATTTGTTCATGCTTTGAAAGATTTCTAAAACTCGGTTCATTGTTTTAATTTAAAAATACAGAATATATGTATTATCATTACAATTCGTTTGTGAATTTGTTTCTTATAACTGTGTGGATAAAATTTAAAATTATTCTTCATGTTTGACCTGAAAGCTTCTTATATTTATGGCAATTTCTTATCTATAATTCTACAATTAATTTCTGAAAAAAAAACATAAGTTAGGTTACGGAGGACTCAAACATAATATTCTATCATGTGCATATCAATAAAAATTAAATAAATCAAAATCTGTAAACAATTAAATACTTCAAATGAATGATATCATATACCTACTTTTATTATGAAAGATATTATCAGAAAAATTATAATAGGTCGTACACGTTTCTTGATATTTCGATAAGGATCAATAACAAATATTTTGTCAAACAGAAAAAAATCAAGAAATACTTTGTATAACATTCATTTTAACAAGTGAAGGTAATGATGGTATAAAGAAATTAATGATGTTTCTACATATATAGGTACTTTCCTAAATTGCTTCAGAATTTGATGATAATTTTTTCCCTAAACCTATATATAAAATAAATCTTTTATTACACGTGTTAGAATATTATAAATATTCGTAAAGAAACGGCTCCGTTATGGTAATTTATATTTCTGGATTGCGATTAAATATTCATAAAAAACTTTATTTCATTGAGGTAACTCTATTTCATTGATTAGCTATGTTTTTAAATGATGTTGTAGTGACAAAATGTATGTAAGAATGTTACATTTAATCAACTAGTTAAGGAAGAGAAGTGCCGCTTATCTTTTTGTATATATTACTTGAACATTGTAAGTCGTTAGATCATTAGCTTGTTAGGTCGTCTGTGCGTTGACGGATATTTATTTTTTCATAACAACTATTCAAATATTTTAATACTAACTAAAAAAAATAAGAAAATAATCATATTAAGTGATCTATTGATCAAACAATACATTGATAAGCTTTACAAAAAAGACTGATAAGTGGAAAGTTGATAAAAAAATATCCGATATAGCGTTTGAGTGCGGATACACTGAAATCGTTGTCATTATCAGTATATAAAACAATTCCATTAGCAATAGTGTGCATGTCTAATACGGACGATTGTCTTTCACAGCAGGAAGATGAGAAAAAGAATAAAAAGAAGCAGTCGCCAGTGGACGATCGACCTACCGTCCCTTCGCCGAGCGAGGCGATGCTTAATAGTAAGTAAAGCAAGGCTACTAATATAATAGAAAAAACAATTCTTTAATATCAATATATGTATGTGTGTGTGTGTACATATGTCTGTGTGTGTATATTTTGTTGTCATACCATCAATGAGTTATACCGGGTATCCATTATGGGGTCAAATTCGCTAATCGATTCTAAAGGTCAATACAGCTACTGTGTCTCGATATTATAATTTACCTTCACGCTGTTTTTATGACTATATGTGTCGTTCAATTTGTTAATGGGAATTAGAAGCGGGTAATATTGTATTTATAACTTGAACACAATGAAAAAACATTATGCTAGTGTAAACAGCTTTAGTATTTCTATAAGAATTAAATTAAGACTTTTTGTACTATTATCCAATAACATGCGATATCTTTAATAACACTAGCAACGCGGAAGTCTTTGATTGGTATGCTATATGAAACAGATATTGTATTCAATAACTAAATTAAAACAGAAAAATTGGTAGACAAAAAGCACATTTGAAGAAATTAAAACGTTAAACGTCAAAGAATGTAGATCATTGACACCATTTAAGATTGAGCCAAGAATCTTGTGAACAGAGCAGATTAAATAATATAAATCGTTTTAAAAAAACCGGTCACCATCCCACGATACCTACGATTTACTAGAAATTAGATATTTCTGGAGCAAAGATAAATTCTGAGCTGAATTATAACACGGACACAATCATTATAGTATCTTTTATTTGCCAAGAGATTCTAAGTGAATCGCATTTTACGAGAATTTAATACGTTTAAAAAAATGTACGATGAATGTTGCTATCATTTAACTATGATTATCCTTAATGAGATTTTAACTTTCGCGAGTTTTATTCATTAATATGAAACTAATATTTTTCGGATACATCATGGGCAGACGAGTTGATCACGGTTGCTGAAAAGTAGCCGAAACGTTGGGAGTATGTAGTTTTTCACAAAAATAAACCGCGTTTCATTTAAATATAATTATGTTTATCATTTTATTCGTTTTTTTAAATTTTGTTATTACACCAATGATATACGATAGCGACAAAGCCGTGTTTGTTGACAGTGTTAAAACTGAGATGTAATTGATAAGAGTCATGATGAGCGGAGGTAATCTTTTGTAAATATTGTTAACGTTATAAGGCCAGGTGATGGAAATGCGCTCATTTTCATGTAACACCGTCAAAGGAACGTAATTATTTTTCATAGTGTAGACTTTATTGTTACTTTTTTTTTGCCGTGGTACAAATCAATCAAGATATTCGTAGGGCTGTGATTAAACTCCAAATCATGACTTTTCAAAAGAACAACGACTTTTGTAAGTTAAAAAGAGGTTTTATTTATTTGAATGCAAAGTATTTGGGATATTTTTAGATCTGTTATTATGGGAGATACACTTTTATTATTAGTTTTTAGTTTGTGTTTTATATATGTGTATTATACATTTAATTATGTATATTGAAATCGTTCAGAAATAAATAAGTATTTTTGTATCTGCACCAAAAAGAGAATGTCCTGTTGCTACTGTATAGAAAAAAAAAACATTATATGTATTGTGTATAATTCAGGACGATAATCATTTAGAATAATAGTATTTCAAGTTGAATTGCATAATAAAAATTTAAAAACTGCATAATAAAAGTGAGTTATTCCGGCTCGCAACAATAGTTATATGTTTTATAAGTATTAACAGAACGAACTATATGTCAAAGTCAAAGGAACAATATGTAATATTTCATATTAAAATGAAATTTTCATACTTATTCATAAGTTCTTAAACAATAGTTTTTTTATATTACCGTTTTATAATTTTCATTTTAATAGGGAAAATTGTTAGCTTATTATAAAGTACAGATTATTGCAAGAAATTAACCCATAATTTCTATCTGTCCACCAATCTTATTTACTTCGTACTTTCTGTTTCGCGCCAGTTTGTATTTAGCGAGAATTAATGAAGAGTTGAAAAACATTAAAATAATATACATTTATAAAATTTATATATTTTATAAACATAAATTCAGATTTCATTATCGTTTAACATTTTTTTTTTAAACTCACAGCATTAGGGTGCATAATAAATAACTCTTATCTATAATATCTTTGGATGCGCGCCATCTTGGATTTACATCGTCACTAAAGAAAACTGTAGGTAGTAATCAAGCAAATGTTTTAGAAAATCTCATACTATATAGTATTTTTTAAGCATATTTTTGTATATATATTAATTATAGCCTAATAACTATATATTTTAAAGGTGTATATGTATGAAAATTAAAAATAAAACCACTATGACCAGTTAAATGTCGTAATTGGTGATAAACAAATTTGGTATACAAAAAAAAATTGATTTTAAATCTATCTGATTTTATTTATAATAGAGATATAAATAAAAGTCATATAGATTTAATAGATTCACATTTATTTCAATAAATAAATAAACAAAAATTGTATAACACTTTTTATTCCATTTATTTTGCTTCTACTATAAATTTCCCTCCTACAAAAATTTCAAGATGGAAATCATTTTATTCATATTTACTTCAAATGTTTCATAAATAATGAAAGTGACTTCCTTATTCGCACGAACACTAATCTAAAAGACAATGACTTTTATAAAACAGAGTTTTAAACATAAATGTATACTAAACTTCCTTTATCATCAAATACATTTCATATTAAATGACTTTGAATGTATCTATATAATTTATTTCTCAGATCTGAGGACGGCGTTCGGTCTTCTGGATAGAGACAGCGATGGTCACGTGACACCAGCTGAACTTCAGTTTATGCTGCGTAACCTTGGCATAGAAGTCAGCGACGAACTAATAGCTGATTTGATCAAGGACGCTAGCAGAACTGGTGCGTATATACAGGGTGACTGGTGAATTACTATCGATATTTGAGGACGTGATATTTGACGATCATATATGACAAAATAAAAATTAATATAACATAAATATTAATAAACTTCTAAGTAAAGTTAACCAAAAGTTGTGTAATTAATTACGCATCGTATGAACACCCTACAGATTAGGTATATACTGACACTCACACATACGCGTGTCGTGACGTGGTGTTGTATCAGCACGCCGCCGCACGCGTCCACACTTGAACACTTGGAACGTGTCAACACTTTATTTATTTATAGGGAAATTTGGTCAAAAATTAAGTACCTATTTTTTTTACATAATTCGAATGAGAATCATGTACCGTGTATGCTCCTTAAAGATTGATAGTAATTCACCAGTCACCCTGTATAACTATCACTCCTTACCATAGAAAAGTTATAATAATTTTCGTGTATTACGTATTACGCCTGACCTAGCACAATATATTGTAATTTATAACACATAATATATAAATCTGTTTGTTAGTTGTTGTAATGATTTTCTTAATGCCGATAGATCATCTTTAATTCGACACTTTAATAACGCTAGCCAAAAACGTCATTTTGAAAATATATGTCCTTGCTGTAGTGCTTAGTCGAGCACCCACTTTGTACTTTGATTTGAATTGTTGCCAAAAATGTACACGGACAGCGTCGGTTTTATACGTTACAGAATAAATTAGGTCATTAAGAGAATCTCCGGGCTATTACCTTAAAATGTACGTAAACAATATTAAATTATTACAGAGATATAGAGGATTTAGCTTAGCTAAGTCAGTGGTTCGGTTCGATCCTGACCCGGGCAAGTACCAATGTGATTTTTCCGAATCATATGTACTTTCTAAGAATATTTAGACATCACTGATTAATGTTGATTCCCAAAAAAAAGAGGGTTGATGTCAGGCAGGCGGCCGGTCATAAAAACAAGTAGCCAAAAACTATTCAAACATGTAAGGCAGACCCTGGCTATAGCTGGGAGATTGTCAGGTAGAAGAAGAAGAAGATAAAGGATTTAGCTTGTTCGTTATAAATAGCTTGAAAATATTTGGTTGTATGGATAATGTGTTTTCTGGAGTCAATATAAGCTATGATAAAATCAAGGAAAGTAATATATTCGTATTATCGCGTGCTGGTTTAAGTGACCCAAGCTTTAACCATACAGTTACCATCAACACGACATTTCTGATCGTAACCCGCACGATCGTTGGTTCTTTACGATGTAAACAAAATTTATATTTATTTGATTTTAAAGTATTATAATTAGATTAGGTAATAAAGATAGTTTGCTTATTTATTTAATAGATGAAGTATACTTATATACTATACTGTTATCATAGCGTGTTACCGATTTAAATGAAGTTTGCAAAGTTTTATGAATAGTAATTTTATGGCTTTTAAATTCTGGTATAATTTACATTCTATACTATTAAAATATAAAACAAAATAATATGCAATTAGAAAAGCAGGCAGTTTTATATAATTATTGTAAATTGTAATGTATTATATAAATAGATCGATAAAATCTTAAATCTAAAATATTATATTATTATCAAAGGTAATTAATCATTTTATTGTTAGAGTACATATTTTAACATTACCTATGTATGTGATCTTATCTATAGTTTTATCTATGGAATGTATTGAATTAAAAAGTATATGGTAAGTTTGCGTAAAAATAGAAAAAACAATGTGGGTAATAGAACAACGTAAACATTATTCACTAGAATTATATAAATAGATTTTACATTAAGACGATCTGAAACCAATTTTAGAGGAAAATCATCCTTTTATATGTATAAGCGATACACGTAACTTCTATCATTTTATATTTGTCAAAATTGATTAAGCTTTCAGTATGGGGTTGTCCATTAATCACGTGATCTTTTTTTAGCATTTTTTAACCCCCCCGCCCCCATTGGTGATACGTAGTGAGGTTTAAGACCACCCCCCCTCCCCCTTCTCAACATCACGTGTATTTTTAGTAGCTACAACGAATCTTAAAATTTTCTGAATATTATCTTAATTTAAATACCATAATAAAAATATCTACACCAGGTTGCAAGTTTTTTTTAAATATTTGTTTAAAAATCGCGCGTTAGACGAAAAAATAAATACACGTGATATCTTACTACACCCCCCCTACCCCTTGTGATATTTTCGTGATTTTTATCAAACCCCACCCCCCCCTTTCAAGCCTCACGTGATTAATGGACAGCCCCTATGCTTGTTTATATTTACGAAGCGATCTCGGATCTTAAGTCAGGGGTATTCAACATACCCATGTTGAATACCCCTGACTTAAAACAAAAACGATTACGGTCATCGTATTATCAAAGTCCACTGGGTCGCTTGCGAATTAGAACTACAAATTGTCTTGTGTCTATACACTATACATCTGTATTTTCAGTAGCCAATAAGATTTTACCGATTCGATTGCGATATAAATCGTGAATCTTTAATCAGTGGTTTTAAACATATATTATTTATTAAAAAAAGGGAAACTTTTAGTATTTAGTATGACGCAAAACTTGTGGTGTTAAAGATTTAAGAAAATACTTTAGATTGACATTGAAATTACAAAGATATAACAAAATTATATTTAAGTATGTATAATAAATAGTTTTATAATTGTGTTTTATTTACAACACTCATAGTATTACGAATGCACTAAATGACTTATACATTATGAGATATGAGATTTTTGAGAGTCATTTAAATGAAACTAATATTATGTGGATATACTACGCGACTTTATTTTTAGTAAAAACTACATACTCCCGACGTTTCGGTTACTTTACAGCGACCGTGTTCGCAAAATTAGTTTTACTTAATTTAATATTAATTACGTGTCTTCCTTTTGTAATCTGTTATCTACTGTTGTTAAGCCTTGGTTGAAAAGGGAAATAAGGCTGTGGTTACATTTGCGTGTTAAAGAACGCTACGTTACATAAAGATGATTATCTTAGTAGCTATTTCGAGTGAGCGATCCATTCAAACTTTGTTACACTGTTTTATTTGAAACGCAGTAGTTAGTTTAGTATTATAACGTTTTATATAATGGTCTATATGTGTATAGAATAATCTTTTCAAGATAAGCTTTATATCTGTTACAATGTAATTAAATCAGAAATATATTAATAGTATTAGATAAGAAGTATTAATTTAGTAAAATTAAATAGTAGAGTATTAATATTTAAATAATAATATATTAAATTGTATACATAACCATTGTAAGGAAATTTAGAAATGTTCTTTATAATTTACTATGTATGTATAAATTTAAAAATTTTTTTTATATAAACCTATTTGAAATTAAAGAACCTGAATGAATTTCTGGTACTTAGGCTATACTATCGTGAATGGAGTCTTGAAATTATGAAACAGTTATTTGCCTATCAGCCTATCAGAAGCCCACTGCTGAGCAAGTTAAAACAGTTATTTATGACAAGATAAAAAATACTTCTTTAAAAAATAGTCTCGTTATACAAACATAGATAAAGACTTCTTTAAAGTTTCTGACCAAACTCTAAAGGAACGCTACGAAAAATCTCAATTTGTAACCATTTTAGGCGATATACACAAGAAATAATAAGTGCTCTAGGAATAGTAAAAAATAGTAATTATATTGACGAACTTACACAGATTTACGTAATTTTTTTTTAATATTTTCAAGTTAATTAAAAAATAATTGTAACATCATGTGATATGTTGAAACATTCAATTCAATTTAGTATCAATATTTTATATTCACAAAAAACCAAGTAAATACATTTCAAGTCTCCTTGAAATCTTAAGAGAATTTTTATATATTTTTTTACAAATAGATTCCAGTTTTATCCTAAGTTTTTTATACCGTCACCTAGTTCTACAGTCAGCTTTATAATGACTAGTCTCTTTGGCGTCTTAATTAGGATTTAACGAGCCCAAACTGTTCGTTTGCATTCACATTAAGGCAAAGATAGTTAGTCTGAGATTGCATAACATCTCATACAAAAATAAAGAAAGACTTGATTTAAAATATAAATATTACATTGCTGCTTAAATATTCCATGATTTTTATTTAAGCATAATAATATTTGGCACATAATATTAAATATTTAAAAATATTGTGTTGCTTCAGTAACCTTGAGTTGCTTCCAGTAACGCGATGCGTCACTATCGATGGATTAATGGAAATTTAATAATAAGGTTTGCCTGAACTATAATGTGTAGTGAAACGTGATATAACTTTATTAGGACAAACTTTTTTTAAAATGAAACCTTGATTTTTACAAAGATTTTCATGAATATTTCTCTATTATATGGAAATATTTATTATTTCGATAATTCTATACGAAATATTATTTCAATATTAAGCTTTTTAAAATTGAAAGAATAATTGAAGAGGATAATAGGGTATATATTATTTTTTATTTTAAACTCGGAGAAAATCAAGAATATCTTCGGATGTTATTAATTTTGAAGGAGCAACTTTTAAAATCTGTCAGTTATTAAAGAACATAAGCTTTTTAAAGTTAATTTCATAATCAAACCGGAATAATACAATGCTACAACGTTATATACTCTATCTGCATGTTAATAAAGTAACTTTCTATTCTAGCAATTTTGTATTCTATTCAGTTGATAAGAGAATAAGAAATGGCTTAAGATTTCAGGCAATATTATATTAAGGTTACGTTTTATATAATTATTATTTTTTTTTCTTCTAATAGACCCTAATTCTTAAAAAATACTTTCATTTTTATGCCTCGCCTGTCATTGGCTACTATAGATTATATATACTAGTTATTAAAGATTATAAATTACATAGCTATTGTCGAGTTACTTCATCGATTTGTTTATTTAATTTCTATGCATTATGATAACTTATTAATATTTAATTGTAATTTACAGGCAATGGTCTGATAGATGAGAATGAATTTATGCAGTGGGTGACGAAGATACAAGCGTTACAAGGAATGGATGTTAGTACGAGTGGAGGTGACTCAGAAGAAGAAATCACCAGAGATTTACTAGCAGCATTCAAGTATGTTCACATTCTAGTACAATAAGCAAAAAAGTTGCTCCTTAGCATAGAAGGAATTGGAATAATTAGTATGCATCTGTGTTGCCATGTGTACACAATTCAGTTTTCAAAGCAAAAGTGAACAGATTATTCGTGGGATAGAATGTTTTTCACCTTTAGCCTAATTTCCACCGCAATTAGGTGGAATTATAGTAAAGGTCTATTTAGTTTGGTAAAATAAACATGTTTAAATCCTAGCAACACTGAAAAATATATTCCTAAAATTACATTTTGTCCCTCAACTTTATATTTTTTTCTATTATTTCTTTAAAATATAGATATAAGGAGAATTCAATAAATGATGGACGTGAATTCTAATATATTAGTTTACATTTAACAATGTAAATATTACAGGGTATTCGATCGTGATGATAACGGCTATATAACACGCGATGAGCTCCGTTCAGCGTTGGAAATGATTGGAGAGCCGGTCACTGACGCTCAGCTGAACCAAGTGTTAGCATTGGGAGACATAGATCACGACGGACGAATCGACTATGAAGGTAAACAATAATACTTTAAATCTTCACATATACAGGGTGAATGGTGAATTACTATCAATATTTAAGGAGAATACTCGGTACATGATTCTCATTCGAATTATGTAAAAAAAATAGGTACTTAATTTTTGACCAAATTTCCGTATAAATAAATAATGTGTGGACACGTTCCAAGTGTTCCAAGTGTGTGTGTGTGTGTACACCTAATCTGTAGGGTTTTCACACGATGCGTAATTAATTACATAACTTTACTTAGAAGTTTATTAATATTTATGTTATATTAATTTTTATTTTGTCATATATGATCGTCAAATATCACGTCCTCAAGTATCGATAGTAATTCACCAGTCACCCTGTATACCTGTATGAACCAAAAGCAAACATCATCATCATCATCACCCTATCAGAGCCCACTGCTGAACAAAGGCCTCTTTCTCACATGGAGAAGGTTTGAGCATTAATCACCAATGCTCAAGACGGGTTGGTGATTTCATACTTTTAATTGTGAAACTATAAGTTCAAGTTTCCTCATGATGTTTTCCTTCACCGTATGTCAGTAGTGTCTAAATATTCATAGAAAGTACATATGACTCCGAAAAATCACATTGGTACTTGCCAGGTTTGAATCCGCGCCCTCAGCAACGATAGGCGGGTCCTTTAACCACTAGGCCACCACTGACTAAAACAAACATGCTGTATAATAATGTTAGATATTTTTAGTCCCAATCCATAATTTCAGTGAATATTTCCTAATAAAATTTACGTAGTCTTCCAAATTTACTAAGCAATAAAATATTAATTTATGACTATATTTACGTATTGCGAGAGGTATTTTGTGTTGTCTATTATTCTGTTACGTCAAATGCACTCACCCACTACTATGAACAATATGTTTAACATTATTTTAACAATTTATGAAGACTTTATGACAAATATTAGTTAATTCTAAATGTACGTAGGGGTTTAAATTTTAAAATGTATTGAGGACTAAAACAATAATTTGGGAATTTTTTGCATTGTTTGAAGGAATGTTCGAATTTTTAAAGTGACATTGTAATTTTTTTTTCTTATTATTTTAATATTCTTTTAATTATTATTGTTTCAGAGTTTGTAAAGATGTTGCTGTAATATACCTCAATATAAAGACCTCACTAGATGTAACGGTAGGTAGTTGAAGACTTTTGTCCTCAAACTTTTTCAAGTTGATCCCTAGTTTTGTTTAGTTTTATTATAACTGGATATTGTCCAAAGATTGAATTAGGTTAATTAATGTATTTATAGTTTTATAGAATACGCTGATAAATAAAAGATATAGATGTAAAAAGCTTCAAACGTCATGCATAGGTAGGTAGATGCTTAAATTTTGTATAATCTGTAACGTAGGAAGCCATTTTAATTGTAAATGAGATTATTCTTCTATATATATTTTTAATCTGTGTTGACTAAATTTCTTGAATACTCATACTGACTGATAATAATTAATTGTTGTTATAAATGATTTTTAATTTCCTGCATCTGTTGATTCTTAGGTATAATAAATTTTTATGTATTTATATGTTTTTTTTAAATAATTGTTATGTTTATATGAATTTTATTATTGTAATATAATACCTACCTAGATATGAACGGATGCGGTTCTCATGTAACATTGTAATTTTATGGTTGTGAAGGATAATTAAATTGAGAAATGTTTAAAAATTATTTATTTTATATCATACAATACAAAGTGCCCACATCAAATCTATATTTATGATAAGAGTATTCGTATAAGATAATTTGTTAATTGCAAAAGTGAATTATATTATATTTTTGTATGATATTTAATTTCATTTTGCATCCCACTAACATTTTTGTAACATTTAATATATATTTTCACGTTTGCAATAGTAAGATATTTATCGCCTTTGTAAGGCATGTGATGTGGATTATACGTGATCGAATAAACCATTGATTTATACATATATTTTATTTTATGTCCAGTCACCTGTTTTTATTATAAGCTCTTTGGATGTTAATATATTTGTATAATCTGTTATTTTAATTCATATTAAAAGTTTTGGAACAAGATCAGTAATTAAATGACCAACAGTCATTAAGTATTTTAGGATTGTCGGTTTCTTAACAAAAGAAAATCCGCTTCGAATGAGTTTTTTTTTAATAGAAACCTTTTAGTTTATAATAACGTAAATTAAAAGAGGTATTTTAAGGAGTATAAACGTAGTATGAAAAATTTTCTTTAAGTACACGTCATGTACATTCATGTTAATTCATACTTTCATATACATTTTAAAGATTTTTATTCAATACTTTGCAACTCGAATAACTCTATTGAATACTATATCTTCAACATATTTTTTTTTATTTATACAATACTTACGTCTTATAGTTTTCGATCCCATAATCTCTGTATAGCAAGATCTACATTTAGAACAAAATATTGAACTGTGTAACAGAAAATCGTTTTAGTTCTATTAATAATTGTATTGACGTAAAATTGGCAAAGATCTTCTCGTTTCTAGGCACAAAACATTTCAAGAACACCTCAATACACCTCCTTCCGGGCCACATATGGCTATATATATACATAAAAAATCATATATATACAAATACATATATATATATATATAAAGTGTGATATATCGACATGTCCAATCATACGGAAAATGTGAGCTATTAAATGTTAATACATAAAAAATCGTCGTGAATATTATCAACCAATTATAATTTTGAGTATCATTTCAAATAATGAAGATGTCTTAATAAATATACCTATATTGAAGCAAAGGGTTCTTGGCACGCTCAAAGCAACCGTGAATTCGACTGTGAATTTCCATTTCAGCTGTTGCAGGTGAAATAGTATGAAATAAATTATGGTGAGCTCAGTGTATGAACATATTTATTAAACGCGTAAATTAATTCGTGAATTTTCTTTTGTATCACACAAGAAAAAGATTTTTTGTGAAATATTACAAGTACTGATTAAACTGACTTAAGAGTAAAACATAAAGTGTATTTGCAAGATTTTCAATTTAATAATCAAAATATTTAACGTTTTCAATTCCTTATAAGTATTTATTAACTTTGTTATGTCTGGGAAGACGTGATATTTCTTTTTGTATGGTATAAAGTTGATTGTCGCATTACTTCGTTTTCTTGTATTAATTTTAAATTAAAATAGATTCGTTTAATATTTTGTTATTAACGCCATCTATAGTTCATGTACAAAACCTCTTTGGAGTTTACATTTGTATCAAGGGTAAGCTACCCAAGTGATAAAATTATGAACAAATTACAGGTTTTGTAATGATCATAAATGAGTCTATAATACCTATTAACTTCAAGAACGTTTTACCTATCTGTGGAAAAGTTGCTATTATAAGTGTTATGAAAACTTTTTGAAATATTCACTAATTGATATATATTCTAGAAAAAAAGAATCCTACGAATTATACCGATATTTATTCCAGGGAATGTAGAAGGAGTGGATTTTTTTAAAACTTTACCGAAGAAACAAAGAGATTTAATTATAACTACTGTGCAGGTTAAATTTTATTTGTACTTATACTTGGAAATTCCTAACTGATTTTTATTGGTATTATTTGATATCAACCTATAGTTTATATTAAAAGCGACATCTATGGAATATAATGATTGACAAATTCTATTATTAGATGTCGCATATTATGGATATTTTATTTCTATGGTTGAGGAACAAATTTTCAATGGAATTAAATAAACAAAATGTAATGAAAAAATTGGCTATTAAGATGAATGAAAATTTTAAAAGATCCAATATACGGTATTGATATGCTTTAGTACTTCATTGTACGGCTGTATTAGCAACAATTATTTCAGGCTAATAAACCTGACCAGAAAACAATTGAACATGCAAACTCGGTAACCGAAAGCTAGTATTACATAAAGTACTGAAACTTTAATCCACAGAATAATAAATTAGTTTCACCTGTAATTTATAAGCGATCAGTGAACTGTAATTGCGCATGAAACATTAAAATTCAACGTAGCTCAACAAAGTTTACTTACAAATTTAATGGAAAATCAACGAATTACGCCCTGTTTACATACACGATAATATCTCCAAGTTTATTTAAGCCCCTCCATTTGTTACTGCCTCTCATTTCGGTCGTCTACTGCGAGAGATAATATTAAAATGATACCTGACCATCTCTTTGATGAGGGGATTAATAACTCCTTGTTACGTAATGATATGAAACATGTTCATTTAAATAGAATTGTTTACAGCAAAACTCAAAAGGATTATGTGAGTTCGTAATTAAAATTTATAAATATTAATTAAAATAATCCATAACGAAGCAGTCGCGTCTATTTATTTATTTACTCTTAATTGGATTAATTGTCTTATGAAATTGATAAGTTATGTTAGTATTAAAGCGAGAAAAGCAATTTAAACTACAGTTATCAGATATTATGGTAATTTGTATGAGCAATTTATATGACTGAAATGATTTAGGAGCGAGATCAACGTAACCTGTTGTCATCTCAAGATGGTGACACATGTGAGATACACGACCAGTTTTATAGAGACCACAAATTACTTCTCGTGTTGTTCAGAGCGCTAGCTGTTATGCCCATCACACGATCAAGACCTGGTAATCATATAAATTCTCTTCAACATGAATGTTTACTTTAATAATTAAAATTCTTGAAAGTATCCTACGAAACGTGTTCTCTTTTCGTTTGAGTTATAAAATTGATGAAGATTTTCTTACTTGTTTGTATTTTATCATAACATGTTCTTGTTGTTCTGAATTTTAATGTATTTTTCAGGCACGATTACTTTCAGCTGGAAATCTCGTGCGACGACGTACGCCATATTTTTCTACATCGTCACTACAATCATTGTTCTAGTGGTCGGCTATGAACGCCTTATGATTCTACGTTCAATTAAAAAGTTCGATGATTACATATATTCCATACTATTTGTCGCATTCCTCGTCCCACATTTTTGGATCCCTTTCGTCGGATGGGGCGTAGCGCATCAAGTCGCAATTTATAAAACGAATTGGGGAAAGTTTCAAGTGAGGCTCAATTTTTTAACATTGTTACGACACTTGCGGATCGAACTTGGCTATCAAATATACGTGACTTAAATATCCAATCGATTCTTGTATTGATCACGTTTAAAACTTATCAAGTAAATGTATTAAAATAACAAAAATACGAACACAATCTATATGATTTATTGAAACTGTTTAAATTTTCAGGTGAGATATTATCGTGTGACTGGTGAAAATCTCAAATTTCCGAATCTTAAGACGTCTATAGTTATAATAAGTGTAGGATGCCTGTTACTCGCTGTGTGCTTTCTTCTCAGCCTGTGTGCATTATTGGACGGGTTCCTTCTGCGTCACACGACAGCATATTATCATATTATTACTATGATTAATATGAATTGTGCGTTGTGGTATATTAACTGCAAGGGAATTAAAATTGCATCGCAGAGTCTGTCCAATTGCTTTAGCAGGGTATGGAACGTGATCTATTTATTAATTCCTTTCTTTCACAATGAATTATACTTTTTATACAATTAGAAATTAGAAGTATATTAAATTAAAGTATATAAAAGAATCATAACTATCGTGTTTAAGATGTAGATACATTTATTAAAAGAAATTTTGATTTGCCTTTTAATTAAATAAAATCTAAGTTACCGGTGATATAGGTGAAAAAAAAAACCACTTAAAATAAAAGTTTTTATTCCAGCCACAATAACATTTATTTAGCATTTCAATAGAGTTATACGTTTCTTATGAAGGAAATAAAACAAGAAGATCTCTTGTGAATATTTCCACATGAATAGTCAAGAGAACATTATGCTTACCGTTAAATACTTCTTTTTAGGATGTGTCCATAGAATGTACGGCCAGTTTGATATCAAGCTATCGTTTCCTTTGGCTAAATTTGTCAGAATTGTTACAATCATTAGGAAATGCCTATGCTAGAACATATTCGACGTATTGCCTTTTCATGTAAGTATATTACAGTATGTTTTTGTGTCTTATCTTTCTCATATGATTTTACAAACTTTGACAGCGTACTTACAATAAAAAAAATGTTTTTTTAGATTTTAAGCTTAACATAGGTCTTAAACTTTTTCTTAGAAATTCATAAAGAGGTTTCCCAAAGTTAATAATATGAGTCTTAATTTCAAGTGGTGTAAGGTGATATAAAAAGAAAAAGAAAAGTTCTTTATAAGAACATTTTAAAATTGAAAATCCAATCCCTACTAATATTATAAATGCGAAAGTAACTCTGTCTCTCCATCTGTCTGTCTGTTACGCTTTCACGCCTAAACCATTGAACTGATTTTAATGAAATTTGGTACAGAGATGAAGTTGTCCTTGAAAAAGAACATAGGATAGTTTTTATCCCAGACTTTTGAAAAGTTCTCTTGGAAACGCGATATAACCGAACACCACGCGGGCGAAGCTGCGGGCGGAAAGCTAATTGTGCAATAATTGAAGTAATGTTTTCAATGAAACAGGAATATTTAAAAGTATCAGTCTAGGCTTAATCTTTTTCTTACGTGTTTAAAGCGCTTTAAAACTCTGTATTTTTTTAATAACCCCTTTTAAGGCAAATGATAACCGAATATATAAAAAATATAAGATTCATATTATTCATTACTTAGGTTCTTCAACATAACTATTGCTGTTTACGGCGCGTTGTCAGAAATCGTGGATCATGGTTTTCGATTTAGTTTCAAGGAGATGGGTTTGATTGTTGATGCAGCTTATTGTTCAACGTTGCTTTTCATTTTTGCTGATTGCTCCCACAAGTCCACACTGAAGGTAACCTTGCAACCTAAAACCTTGCATTTTCACTACCATCATTATGTGTTTCAATGTTATCTAATAGGTGAGTGAAGAATTAGGTCCATAATAAGAAAAAAATTAAAAATATACGTCAAGTTAATTACTTATATTATATTTCACTTGATATTTTTGTGTATTACTAAGTTTATTACATAATACATTCAATAAACTTTTGAAATAGTCTTGACTTGTAATATTTCAATTAACCGTCACGAGTAAATTTCGAACTAATAACCATCAGATGTCGCGCTTCTTTTGTTTTTGAATTTAAATTCAGTTATAGTTTAAAATATTTATTATATTGCTCAAAAACCAGGTAGCAGCTGGTGTTCAAGACTGTCTTCTATCTATAGATGTGTTGTCTGTTGACAGGCCGACACAAAAAGAGGTAACTATTCTGTTCTATCTACATACTACATAGTTAGAAACTAAATGAAAAACGATAACCTTATTTTTTGCTTCTTAGGCTAGTCAACAATTTCCTTATACAAAATTTGTAGGTCTTTTAGCTAGAAGCATTATTTAACCGTTTTTTTTAAATTGAATGTTCAAAAAAGGACAAAGTTTTTATTTTGAAAAAGTTCAAATTAAAATTACTTAATATTTAAAAAATAATTAATCTTTTGTATATATGTAGTGAGAAATAAACCTCTTAAATAAGCAGAAAAAGTAAATACTAAATAACATTCGATTTAAATTTGACGGCGTAAAACCCTTTCCTTATTAAATTAAATTTAACGGTCTTTAAATTGAATTATATGTAGATGTCAGACCAGAACAAATATGTATTTGATATATTTAATTTGAAGATATTAAAATAAGTGGCTAAGAGATTAGTGAAAGTTTCTTAAAACTTATTGTTTATTATTTCGTTATTCTAATATTATTACAATTTGTCTGAAACGAATCGTAACCTGAATATGAATAAAATCATTAAATTTATTGCCGTACAAAATTTAATCATGATGGAGAAGAGCTTTGTCCCTTATTATTTAATTTGTAGTGAACGACAGGTAAACTACGTATGTGTAGTTTTCCTTATGTAGAGAGACGTAGTTGAAGTCAATTCTCAATAAGCTGTGCTTTAAAAAATTTCTTAGTAATAACTTTGAACTTTAACACAAATATAATCTTCATTAAACTTAAATAACGTAACCAGTTTCTTATTCCCACCCTTTCCTATTCCTAAAAAAACAAGGTTGGCAACGCATCCGTAACAGAGATGTTGGGGAAGTCTTTTGGCGACGGTAATTAGCTTCCATCAAGGAGGCCGTCTACTCGTTTGCCAAGCTTCATATAAAAAATAATTAGTTATTGTAGTGGATATCAATAATGTAGTTTATATATTTTAACTGTCCAAGGATACTTATTATCTTTTTACAAACGTTTCTGGTATTACTTAATTTAATGATATCTAACACTTTTGTGAATATTAATCTAAATGAAACTTGAAAAAAATATTTTTTAATTTATATTAAGCGTTGGTTTCTACCGCGATAACGGTTGCTGAAAAGTAATCAAAACGTCAGGAGAATTTAGTTATTACAATAATAAAGTAGGTACGCGTAGTATAATCCGAAAAATATTAGTTTCATTTAACTGCTTATATTATTATGTGCGGTATATGTAGACCGTGTATAAGTATATAGATATAGATATAGATATATTATATTTAAAATCAATTATAAAAATGAACAATATTTAATTATAATCCACTTATTTCTCAAACTATTAATTTTATTAAGATTTCATTTATTTTATCATGATATCTGTTTCAGATAGATCATTTCATACAAGCTATAGAAATGAACCCGGCTGTAGTGAGCTTGAAGGGATACGCTCACGTAAACAGAGAACTACTAACATCGGTTTGTATAAACAACTAGAATTTACACAAGAACAATTAAAAAAGCTATTCTTTTAATGACATTTTCATCTATTACTACGTACAGAAGAAACAGTTTTAACTGTACTTATATTGTTTAGGAAAAACGATTGAAATCTTTGTTATTATTATCAAATTGTAACAAATTCTTTACATTTTATATTCGATTCTATATCATGTTTATTTAAACAAAACTTTGATACAATGATTTTAGCGTAGCTTAGTCTCTGTTACTCAGACTTCATTCACAGTTGAGTTGAAATTACTAAAATTAATTACGTGCTAATACTTTAAAATTGCTAAGTACATATCTGAACACAGACAGAATGCATCTCACACTACAATGTTATTAAATTAAGATGCAAAAGTAAATTAATTATTCTCAAAGGTGTCATGAACAGTAATGGGGTCTTGTAATAAAGAGATTCTGTAAGTATCCTAACTCCTCTGTCAACAAACTCACTCGGTTCGAAGGTTTTTTTATGAAATAACATTATATGATCGGATTTAAAATCATGAAACAGTTTTTTTATTACTTAACGAAAAAAGTTTCTTGAGAATTTAATATAAATTTACCTTTGAAATACATAAATAGTTTTCACTTGCGTTAACCCATAGATTTTTTTTTGCGAAAGTAACTTCTTTCCTTTTTAAATATAATAAGAACAAATATTTTTGTTTAAGAAGTACTTACTGCAATTTAAATAGTTCGTTTTTTAATCCAAAGTATCAAAATTAAAAAGTTTTGTGTTATCGAGAACAGTTTAATTTAATGCTGTTATTTCAAATAGATTTTTTTATTTTATTAGTATTTCATTAACTTAGGTAAATCTGTTTAGATTCATTAATTAAAGTATTCTATAAAAATAAAAGTAAAGTTTTACAATAGAAGAAATGTATGTGTATTTACTTTAATTCAACGAATTACTTTCTGTTGCAGGCAATAAGCATGATAGCCATTTACCTCATAGTCTTGTTGCAGTTCAAGATTTCATTGCCCAAGGAGATCTCTAGTTCTTAAAATTATACACGACCCTCACTTTTCAATGGTTTGAAAACTTATTTAGTATTGTTAAGCATCACAATTAGTTAAGTAATCCTTAAAGAAAATCGCAAAATTTCACAAATCCCCGCCTTGCATAATATTAATAATTTAATTAAATAACAATTATATAATAGTATTATAAGCAGAAGTAATATAAATAAATGTGTACGTTTGTGTATTTCATTTAATCAAATAATTTTGATTCACTTATATCAAGTACTTTAGTATCAGTAAATAATTAATGGCAGAGGTTTCTCATTAGGCATCAAATGAAAATGATAATGTGTGGTTGTTTCGGAGGATCTTGTAAATTCCAACATGTTAGTATAACAGTATACATTCCCAAAGGCGATCTAATTTATGTTAAATATATTAACGCGCCCCAATTAGGTGGGCTGACGTTTTCTTTATAAGTTATTGCTGTACATATAATATTTATTATTAATTATTACATAGCTAAGTTTATAAAGTAATTCATCATGATAAATTATATTCGTCTTATATTACCCAAAAAATTTGTAAGTTTTCTTTAATATACGTAAATAAATATGTTGTTATTTGTTGATATTTGTAGCGTTGATATTATTAATTAATACGTTTCCTTTATCAAAGAGTATGTTTTTGATGCGTGAAGGTCTTCGTCCGATTTCCTCATCAAGAGTTTCTTACCCTCGCGATAATTAACCATAACTATAGATCTGTTCCTGGATATTTAGTACGAATATGCATCGTCACTTTATTTATAAGTTGACTGATTGTTTCACATTCAATATATTATAGTAACATGAGGTTTTTTTTTATGCTACGGCTTAATTCGCATTAGAATCGTATAATATTCTGCCAATCTCAACATATTTAAACTTTTTGAACGAAATATAATCTTCAATACGTTGTGGATAAGCATATTATTTACAAAATTAATGATTGAAATACTGACAGTATATTAAAATGACATGAATTGTAATTATTTGGTTCTATAGTAATGTTTTCAGGAGTATTCATTTAATAAAACGCTTCTGTGGAACTAAAGTGTTGTTTAATTATTAATTAATTATCAAAACGAAATTAGCATCACCCATTTCGACAGTACTGTAGTCTGTTCTAATATGATATGATAATTGGATTACTCTACGAGTGAGCTGTTACAATGGTTATTAAGACAGAGGTTACGGAAAACATTCTGAGTAATATAACATTATAATAAATACGATGAATAAAACTTAATGTAATTTTTATTTCTTCTAATAGATAAAAAGAAACTTTCCTTTTTGTAGGAAATTGCGGTTTTTTAATATTAAATACTTGATAAAAATCAATTCATATTCTGAAGTAATATGCCCTAAATTTTACGTAGTTGGTATGTTTGTTACAAAAACCCTTAAAACTAGAAAATATATGAATCGATTGATAAACAAACTTGACGTAGAATTGATAATAAATGAAAATTCTTATAAGTGATAACAAAAAGTTGTATGCTTATATATGTACCTTAAAAGTTCATATACAAAAAAAATTTAAAGCCGACTGTATCGAATTTTAAAGAAGGAATAAAATGAAAGTTCTATAGACAAATAAGTTTAATACTGAATTAAATTAGACTTTTAGTTTTCTAAAATCAACACAACGTTTAAATACAAAACAACAAAGTCGAGAACCACTCGAGGATTCATATCAATCCATTGTACTTTATTAGATATAAAGTTAAATTAATTAAATCATAAATTCCTTGTGAATATATTAATTGAATACCATTTATAAGGATCGCTTATCTCAGAGTATTATTGATAAATCTTAAACGATTTACGCTATCACGCCTCAGCAGTTTCCGATCGGTGTGTACAATCAATCCCCGATGTGACACCACAATGAGCGTTCATTAATCAACTTTTCTAATTTATCCAACTTCCTTCGATATTTTAAAATATCCGGACTAATAAGAGATGATTCCGTCAAACGAATCTTCTGAACATCGTTTTCATTTCACGAAAATAATCTAGTATATGTTTAGTCAAATTCATTACTTTTATTACCGTTTCGTTATATATTTAAATAAATATTGTTTTTCTTTGGATTTATTAAATGATTTAATATACAGAGTTTGCACGTTTTTCATAAAGATAAAAATAAACGTGTATCGTGAATAGGTACGTATTAAAAGTTGTTTACCTGTTTCATAAAATACACATTTTTTTCTCAGATTTACCTTTATCAACAGTTTAACTCGCGTAATTATTGTATTGTTTGTTTTTTAAACACAAATCTTGTGACAACTCGCATATTGTATGAATTATTTAATAAAATTTATCCTTTGTTCCAGATGGTTCTCCTTTATCGTTTTCAGTCTTTTTATTTATTGATTTGTTTTTTCAGAAAACCTCAGAAAGTTTAATTAGCACTAAAGTTAACATGTATCTGTTGGATAAAAGTTATGTATGTATAATACCATACAGATAAATCATGACAAGCTATTTGTAAGGAGCTTTCTTCATGTTTGAGCGTATGTAAAAATCACTCGCTACATTGAAATTTAATCAGAACATGCTTCGGAGAAGTTGGTATCGAAGTTACTTAGATTATAATTTTGCAAGTAAAGTTACGGGATTGTAAAATGTAATAAATCAATGTTGTATAAGTTCTGTACGTTTTTCTACATGAATAATATGTTTTTATGCAAATAATATATTTTTTTGTGTCGAATTTTATTATAATAAGTATAGCTGTCAGTATCACGGACAGTCTATTGACGCAATTGGTGACATCATTCAGTAGCGTCGCTGGACTATGGAGTAGAGATTTGTATCGGACTTCGTGTCGAGTGCGGTTATTAAAACTCAAGAGCACTCTAGATAATGGAATTAGCTCGGACCCCATCAAAACTACCATTTGTATCACCTTGGAAAATTTTTGCTTTTAATTTCAATATATTATATGATCCTTATATATTAATTTATCCTTCTATTTGTTTAAGTTCTCTTCTAAAGTAATATAGGATGTTTCAGATAAGAAACTTTAAACGTTCTAACATCTAACTACGTCAACAGTAAACAAATGCTATTTATATATTTTGTTGACAATATACAGTACATCACATATAACTTTTAATAGTGTTGGTACGTTGTTGACTGTGTCAGGGCTATTTAATTTCCTTAAACTTATAGTAAAAATATAGTAATTACTATTTCGTCAACTGGTGACATTATTGTTTTTTGCTGAACAAAAATTCTTTTCGTTCATACACAATCTATATAAACTTCTTGCTGAATGAATTTCAAAGTCGTAACTAAAAAAAAAATATTTATTACTCCACTTTATTTACTTTTTATTTAATTTACTTTGAAGTGCCTGTAATCCAAATATTAACTAAATAATATATTTAAAATTTCGAGTTCTAATTATGAAATTAAATAACAAAACAACATGCTTACCCCAAGTTTGCATCGTTATTTTGTAAGAGGAAAGCTGACAGTATAATCACCCTTTGAAATAAAAACAAGAGACTTTTCGTATGTAGTGTGACGATACAAACTTATACTAAGCATAAACTAAGGTAATAAGCGGGTATCAAAAACATTTGATATATGGCGATCGTAAAAATTTCACAAATTATATGTCAATGAGCTTTTTATTTTGGTTACACACTAATTAAATCGGTTCAGTTTAATAATAGTTAATAATCTGGTGTTGGGAACATCAAATTTGACTCTTAAATTACAGAACAAAATGGATGTCGCGTAATTAGGTTTATTTTTATCGAAACTTTTTTATTTGAGATCTGACATTTTAAATACTTATTTTCCAGCCAAATTTTCATCATAATCTAGGTCCGTTTGCTTAAATTTTAACATTAGAATTTTTGATTGTTATTTTGGATTTCAATACCGAATTGATTTTTTATTGACTATGCTCTATAATATGTTTTTACCATAGAAAATATATCATAAATCGGATTGGTAACATTATATTTAATAAACAAAGAGACTCAATTTAAAGTAATTGGTAATATGAATATTATTATTGAAAAAAATATGTAATTATAAAGCTTTGTAAGAAATATATTTCACGCTTTACTTATTAAACAAGTTTATCAATATCAAAATACGTTTTTGTATACAATTATATTCAAGACATTGTTTACATTCAGACATGTTACGTTCAGAAATTGGGTACCGGCTGTAATGTGACAATTCTCTCTCTATAATATGCATGTACTAGACCTATGTTGTCTGTATGCACAAGTCTGAACTATTACAGTAAATACGAAAGATTTTCCTTCTTTCATTCAGTAAACTACGTTATAACTATAATTATACAATAAACTACGTTATAACTATACAATGATTTATGAAAAAAAAACTGCTAACGCCCCGTTTGGTGTGACAATAAAAACTTAGGATTAAAATATTGAAGTATAAAAAAACATATATTAATTTTTCTACACATCACTTTTTATTTATATGGATTAATATTGTTGATTTAATCAGCTTTACAATGATAAACAAATAGTACTATGTATATATGTACTGTAGAATAACGTTATACGTATTTATTACGTAATCGGTAATTAATTTGTTGTTTGACAGAAAACTTAAGAATTTTATTAATAACATTCTATATAATTATTTATAAAACTTTCAAAATGTGCGTTGTTTTTCAATTTTATAATAATAACTTATAGTTGTGTTCGAAACTAAAGTGTTCGAAGTGAAACCTTATCATTACTGTTTGTATCTATACCACGATTTTCATTATTTACGTATGACCTGATTTTGATAAAGTTTAGCAAGATACAGAATAGTATATTAAAATTATCGAAACTTTCATTTTAGTTAAGCGAGACTTAAGTCGTTAAGAATTTAAAAAGAAAAAATTTAATCACCATTACGATACAAAAATAGAAAATTATAATTACTAGATTTATTTAATAATAGTATTCTATTTTTAAGCATGTTATTGAGTATCAACATACATATCTGTTT